TAGAAAACAAGATACCTACCCATTTTAATGGCCTCGGGGGTGTTGTTTGAGGGGCTGGACGGCGAGGGGCAATGCCAGGTGGCGGTCGAGAATGAGCATCAACAACTCTCATCATCATTGATGGCTTATCCGGCAGATGCCGTCCACCACCTGATTGGCTGGAAATGGTGGCCTATGTCTCCGCAGTTCCACTCATGCATGATGGGATCAATATTCCACAACTCAGATGAGTAAAATAGATTGTTTAAGTCTTGGTATCTTGTCCTGTAGTATACTTATATCTATTTATCTATGTCCAAGGCTAATTTTATGTTCAAGAAGTGTGAAACAACAATGTCCTACATATGTCAACCACAATCCTACCTCAAGGACTATATCTTATGCATGGGAAGCTATGAACCATGGGGTAAAAGTCTTACAGAGCATTAATTAGTAGATATTACATCTTATAAGTATGTAGGTTACTACTTGGACCTGATTTGGAGTGTTGGCGAGGTAGAATGAAGGTGAAATGACAAGTTGAGTGCTCCAGGATATGGTGGTCCTGTGGTGATCTCAGTACGATGGCTGCCAGACCACCTGCTCCAGCCAATGGGATGAGACACGGAATTTGCCGGATAACAATCAACAACATTGAACCATCATTGGTCGTCATCCACAACCACAACCACAACCCCCTAGGCACCTTCCCTTCACTAGCCTGCCTCAAAACACGAAGAAATAGGTAAGGAGATGTTATTTTGTGTATAGATACAATACTAAACTACTTTCCCTTGTCACAGGAGCTTGCCCATGTCAATGATGACATGACAAAGCCACCGCATGCCCCTCCCCTCACGACAGGGATGTGGGCTGGCGCAAACCCCATCCACCCCCATTCCCTATCTGAGTCAAACTGCTGAGTCGACCTCCTATCTCCCTCCTGTCCCTCTCATACACACCCTCCCTCACCCTCCGCTCACTCACCTACACCCACTTACCTGCCCATTACCCTTCACCCGACCCGAAATTTCTGCTGGGTTGCAATTCCTGCAACCCCCAGCTGCCTATACCTGCCCTCTTCTCTGGCCCCTCATCCTCAGAGCCATGGCACTTTGTAGGTGCAGTGTAACTTGGCTGGAGGGTGTGTTCTGGGATGAGGGCGAGCTGGGCAAGGCACAGCCTTGTCATCTAGTGATATATATCAGATTGGACTACTACCCAGTACATGTTATACATCAGGATGGGTAGTAGCCTGTTGGGCAATTGCCCAAGACATTCTATAATAACATAGAGAGACGTCATAGTCATAGAAGGAAAATGTTACTGATGCCAAGACTGATGGCAGGTCATGTGACTTTTTACACTTCTATCAGCTACAAGAATATATCAAACACTGTATTTTTACAGGTTAGCTTTATAGATCAGGACTGTGTTTTTATAGTCCACGTACTAGAGTTCATTGGGATGGCCTTGCCAGATGTGCTGGGGCTTGCAGCTGTGGGCGGGACCTGTCAACACACACAAACAACTCAGGAAACAGTGCCGCAGCACCGTTCTTCTTCGTTTGTGGTGCTCCTGCCCCCGTTTTTGATAGGGAAAAGGCGCCAGTGATGAGGAAACATATTTTCTCATCGTTCTGCACCATTTCCCCCACTGTTGGGGTGGCAGGATAGGCTGAATGGGGTGGGGGTGGTTTGGATGACGCGGCATTTTTGGTGTGTTGATTATTTTTAGATTTACCAGTCCCAAAGCTTCTGACCATTCCCAAAATAGCTCGCAGCAGACAATGCTCGCCGTCATCTATTACGACGTCCAGCAAGCCTGGGCATTCACACAGGACACACAAAAAATGAGAAAAATTGTATTAAATTATTAAAAAAATGAATACGACTGTGCAGATGGCTCTACTAGCCACCTGATCTGAGATAGAGATAAAATGAGCAGAAACGACATGTTCATGGCACGCCGTTTCTGCTCAGATGGACCTGCCACACCATGCTCACCCTCGCCTCATTTGCCCTCCCACAGTGCTGCTTGTGCATCCCTTGCCTCATGGTGCACTGTGCTTGCATCTGTGCCGTGCTCGCCCTCGTTCCGTGGTTGTCATTGCACTGTGGTTGTCGCTCAGCCATCCTTGTCCTCGTACCATGCATGTGCTTGCGTTGTGGTCATCACTGTGCTGTGCTTGTCCTTGTGCCCCAGCTCTGCACCATGCCTGCTATGCCCCGCTGTCTTTCCCTTTGCCCCCACAGTGGCTGGGGCCGCCACCGTGATCGTCATGTGGTTGCCACCCTTATCTTCGTGTGTGGTTGTATGGAGGTGGCACTGTGACATGGAGACGGCAATAGGACAGTAGGGGAGATGAAGAGTGAGAGGCCAAAGGTGAGGGGTTGTTGCTCACCCTCAATGCCTCACTCTCGCCGTCCTGCCCTCACCATCTCACCCTCGCCGTCTCGCCGTCATCATCTCACCATCCTGCCCTCACCGTCTCACCCTCGTCATCTTGCCATCCCGCCATCGCCATCAGGCCTATGCTGTCTCCATCTCAGCCCTTCCATCCTACTGTCTGGCTGATGGTCGAGGCCGCTCGTGTCATTGCTGTCCCCCTTGTGGTATTGCTGTCTTCCCATGCCGCTGTTGCTCTGATGCCTCTGATGTCACTGTTGCTCCACCTGTATCAGTTAGAAAAATATAGAAATACAAGGCAGTTTCCTAACTATGAATCTAAGCCCTGGAGGGCAATATGCTACCTTCTGCTTTGGGAAGGCTCTCCTAATAAGAGGGAGGGGTTGCCAGGTGCCCAGCATCTGCAAGGGTGATGAGGAGGGGGTAAATAAATTAGTAAGCATCCATTTCCGGGGTGGGCAGGTGGTGGGAGGGGCTGGAGGGGGTGGAATGGGGGTGGGATAGGCCAAGCAGGACCCCAGGGCACTGCAGAGAACTGGACATGTGACCTGTTTGCTCTGCAGCCTCAACCGGGGCCGTTTTTTGTGAAAAAAGTGCCCAGGGCCAATGTGATAGTATGTTACTGTATGTCATAAAAAAATCAGGAGAATCTGGGATGTGGAATGTTGCAAAATGGCGCATATGAGGTGTCACCTTAACTTGGTGCGCATTTATTTTTAGCACAAGCTGCTAAATTGGGATCTGGCATCAAAATAGCCATTGCTGGTGCATTTCAGGCTCGTTTGGCTTCCCCCTGGGTGGAAATTGATGGGAACAGTGATGCGATAATTTTTAGGTAACTCATAGCTACCTGTAGACACCCAGAACGTGGGAATACGACCATTTTTGGCGATGTTATGGCCTAAACTGTGCTTCTATGCACAAAAATGCGAAAATGCGCACCTAATGCTCTTTTTTTTTTTTTTTTTTTTTTTGATCAACAATTTATATAGCGGTGCTTGGTGGCAGCCCGCTCGCTATCTACAAACACATACACTACGCGGCCTGGGTACTAAGTAAACCACTAAAGGACGTCTGCCCCCCCAACCACAAGCCTTATGGCTCAAACGCCGAAGCTCCCATAAAGCCAGACCCACCTCGTGAAAACGGTGATGCGGGATAAGGGGAAGAGACCATCGAGGCCCCGCTAAACCCCAAAGTCGTCAAACGCTGTTCGGAGGCCACGCAGCGCAAATGAAATAAGAGAGCACCACCCGGGAGGTGGCAAGGTGTCTTAAGGCTGACAAGCCAGAGATGCGCCTGCCCGAAACCAGACACAGAGTATTAGCGGTGCCGCAACCCGCTATAATAGCGGCCGCGAGCGCAAAGAAATAGCGGCGGGCGCAGGTCTTCGAACCCTAGAGCTCGGTGGTGTCAATTCACCATAAATCCCCCGAAAGGAGGAACAACCCCGCCCACAGTGATTATCCAACACCCGAGGGGTCTCAGTTGAAGCCAAATGCGGTGGGGTTGTACTTCATAAACGATGCAATATCCCCGAGAAACCGGGGATAGTGTACAGAATATCTATCGCGACAGCGAAAGAGGATGTGCTGGCGGGACTGCAAAGCAGCCCCGCAAGTGCAGCCGTGAGGCTCATTGATCTTGAAGCGACGATAATACGCTCCAATGGGCGCGTGGCCAGTTATGCACCGGCAAACGCGAGTGAACTCAGTAATACTGTGTCCGAAAGTTGAAAGCCAAGGTCCCCCATTGAGGTACGATGGCTGTAGCGGCCGCCCGTCAGGCTGTTGAAGCTCTAAAAATTCAGAGCCTCGGTAAGTTGGATCCTGGAAAGTGGAACTCCACGAATCCAGGACTGAGTGCGCCGCTCGAGAGCGTAGCGCGTCTATAGAGTTGTCCGTCTTACGACGTCCAACCCTGACTTTGAGCTCGGTGACGTACTTGTGTGCTTCACCATGAATGTCCCACCGCAGAGCAGAAGGGACGTAAACGAAGGTTACGCGACGGAGATCGTCCGCCTCAAACCACTCTTTAAGAACGCGACAAACTGACAGGCTGAAAGCCTGACCAGAATGCACGCCGGGGTCGACCGCTCTATGGGCTGAGCCCATAGAGTCAGTAAAGACCATAATATGTTGGCAGTTTGCCTGCTTGACAGCAAGGCGCACTGCGCACGAAATGGCATTGAGCTCCGCATCAGGGGCGGTAACTCTGCCAGAGACATAGCGCGTCCTTTCGAGCTCGCGATGTCCCTTGTAGATTATAGCAGCCGAAGCCGCCTGATACTGGTTGGACTGAGGGACAGAGCCATCAGTTGCAGCCAGTACTGTTAGTGGGTCGGCCCTCGCTCTCGCGATGAGCTCGTCTAGATATGGACGCCTATCCTGGGTAGGATCACGTTCGTCAAAGCGGAGACGGTCCGCATAGCGGTCCAGTAACCGATCGCCTGGGCGAGCTTCGGGCGCAAAAGGCTCGAAGCTCTCAGTTAAGGTGTGGACGTGCTCGTCCACCTCCATGACAGTGCTCTTGACTTTCCCTCGCATGGCTGGGGTCATCAAGGCAGCGGAGCGAGCGTGTGGTGCGGCTCGCTTGAGGAGTCCCTCACCCATCATGGAGCAAAGAGGGTGGGTGTCCAAAAGGGTGGCGACGCGATACACTGCGCACGTCGCCAACTTCTTCAGCATGAGATGGACGGGGATGAGGCCAGCGAGGGCCTCAAGACCGCCTGTGGGTGAGGTGCGGAAAGCACCCGTGATCCATAGAGCAGCTTTTCGCTGCATCCGTTTTAGCTGGTTCATCGCGCCCTTATTGCGGGCGCCATCAAAATACCAGAGACGATAACCGTATGTGGCAATAGGGACCACACACGATCGATATAAGAGGCGGCGCTGTTTAGGCGATAGACCTCTAGTAGAGTTCCCGAGCATGCGCATGGCTTGCACGGTGGTAAACGCCTTGGTGGCGTAGTAGCGAACGTGCTCATGGAACGTGAGCCCGCGGTCAAAGTAGAAGCCCAAGTACCTCCAATAGGTCTTAGGTTTCAAAGGTGTGGCGCCGGTATGAGGGGCGTACCCCAAATCCAGCGAGGGATTGTAGGCATCTCGACGACGCGAAAAGTGAAACAGCTCGGTCTTGTCGTGTTCAAGAACGAGCGCGAAGGCAACAAAGAGAAGGTAGATAATTTTGTAGGCCTTACGCAGGCCCACATTATTATCATCAAGTTGTTTGGATTGGGCCAGAATGGTCCCATCATCCACAAAAGACAGCAGCGTCATGTTGAGTGGCGCTGCTTTGATATAGAAGAGCTTCATTACCGGAGCAATGAACAGCCCAGAGATAACAGGCGAGAGAGCAGAGCCCTGCCCGACACCCACATCCGCAGACCGTGAGTCGGATTGGAAGGTGTTCCAACAGTAAACTGTGGATCGGCCTACAAGGTAAGAGGCAAAGAATTCCACCAGAACAGGCGAAAACCCTTGCTTGCGAAGAACAGCCATGAACATCTCATGGTTAATAGAAGGGAAGAACTGCGCGATGTCAAAAGCCAGCGCGCTAGTCTGGAGACCCTTAACCCACCCCGCTCGCACGAGATGGGTCAGAATCAATCCAGCATCCTCAGTTGACCTCTGGCGGATGCCGCCAAGTTGGTTGGGATGGAAGATATCATGCTTGACAGCGTCAAACTGTATCCTATTGGCAATCATCTTTTCGATAAGTTTACCGAAAGTGATGAGGAGTACGATTGGCCTGAAGGCCTTCGGCACGGAGTAGGAGGGCTTGTTCGGCTTCGGAACGATAACCGATAGCGACTCCTTGAATATACGTGGCCAATGACCCACCCGAAGGCAAGCATTGGCCAACACGATGAAGAGCGCAAGGACGTGTTTATCCTTGAGCAGCTCCTTTAGGTGGACCCATGTGACGTGGTCCGGGCCTGGTGCAGAGGAGTTGGAGCACCCCTTAAGGGCACTCAACAACTCATGCTCCGAAAAGTCAGCCCACTCACGGACTGGCTCATCAGGAAGCTCGTCTAAGACTGAAGCATTGTACTCGCGACCAGAGGCCGAGTTGTACGTGCCGTGTAGGGCGTCCCAAAGGTCGTCCATATCGTGGCAAGGCTGGTCGCCATTGCGAATAGCCTCACAGGGTGGTGGCTTGCGCTGTTTGACCCACTCCATTAGGTCCCACGGGCGCTTGCGAGAGGTAGCGATTTCTGCGATACATTCATCGAAGAAATTACGTTTGGTGTCCTTACACGCCTTCTTAAACTTGTTGTAATCAGCGAGCGAGCGGCTCAACTGATATACTCCAAATGTCTCCGAGCACTCTTCCGTCCACCAGGACTTGGAGCGCTTGGTAGGTAATTACCCGTCGCCCAGATCCGGGCGGTTCGGGACCGATATCAAGATCCGTACAGATCGGGACATGATCTGACGGACCCTGGAGATCGTGCTCCAATCTGGGCATCGAGATGAGGATCTCAGATGGAGCTAAGAATACAAGATCCAAAACATTGGATCTCTGGTTTGGATTAGGACTGATCCGCGTCGGTCCATGGTTAGTAGGTCGTGCCCACTCGAGGCCGATCTGAGATGCGGTATCCCGCAGGGATATTGCCGTCGACGACTCGCCATGCTCATAGTCATCCCAAGTCGTCGACACGCAGTTGAAGTCACCAGCCATATAAATGAAAGGTGGTAGAGAATGCACACGAGTAGCGAGGTGCTCAATGGCTGTGTGTTGGTCGTCAGAATAGACGTTCATTAGATTAAGAACCTCACCCCCACTGAAGAGGGAGAGGACGAGGATGTCGCGACGCATAGCGGGACGATAGCGGGAGAGCCTAGTCGAAACGTAGGCAATCACGCGGGGAATTTCCCCTTCCTTGATGCGCACCATCTGCAGCCAGTCTGGATGCTTTGGTGCGCCGATAACCTCATCGCCCTCCATACTAGTGGTGGACGGTGCGTGTCTTATAAAATTCCAAGGGGTTTCTTGGAAAAATAGAATATCAAATCTGTTTATACAAATTTCGAGAAGGGTGTCTACGTGTGCATAGGTATGGCGAACGTTCTGACAGTAAATACGAAGCCCACTACTTAGATCCTGAAGGTTTCCCAACATTAGTCTAGGTTCGGGGGTTAGTAAGTTGGTGGCGAGCAGCATGCTCACGTACCTGACGATACTCGGCCATGATCCACTCACGGTCGTAGCGATGGGCCCAGAACTTACACGAAGCCGAGTTGGCGGCGTGGTCCTTGTGGCAATTGACGCAGCGGCCCTTGTGGGGGCAGGGCTGGTCGTGAGGGGTGGGCGGCACAGGAGGCTTCGCTTTCGCGTTGCCCTTGCAACATCCCACATGTTGACGGTGCTCCTTCTGCTCGTGTGGGCCCGTGCAGATGGGGCAAGAGAGTTGTTTCGCCTTGCAGGCGACGGTGGGGTGGCCCCACTTCCAGCAGCGCTGGCATAGCGGGACCCCGGTGTGACGTGCAGCGGCCTGATTGCGCAGGACCGTCCAGCGAGGAAGATCGGTTGGCCTAAGGCCTTCTTGGCATGGGTTCCCTGCTGGGAATCCCAGATGTTGCAGTAGACGGTGCAGGATGTTGAGTGCGCCGAGTTGCGGTCGATCCGAGGCTTGGTGCTCAGATATGCGAAAACCTCAGCGTGAACTGAGGTATGGAGGGCCTTTTCAAGCGCCTCCTGGGTATCTTCAACCCTTTCGGATCGAAGTAGGGAACGTCGAGGATCTTTATGAAAGACGTCGATGATGGGAGCGCAACCTCGAACGGAGTACCCGTTGGAAGGCTTTCGCGAATAAAGTTGTGCAGTACGTCCAAATCGGACGGGCTGGCAACGGCGGGGGTGACCAACGACAAACCGTCGTAGGCGCGGACGATGGAGGTGACCTTTAGCATAGATCGACCATCCCTGAGGTACCCGTTGGCTGCACGGACAGCCGACTCGGTGAAGAATTTCGTGAGGTCAGGGGGGGTACCCCCGAATGACACGAGAACCTGCTTCCGGGTGGGGCCCTCGGAAGTGAAAGAAGGAACGGACCGATGAGGTGAAGTCTTCATCGGACCCATTGGGAATGAGGGGGGAGGGGAAGGCCCACGCCGTTGCGGTCCCAAGCCAGGAGGCGGGGGAGGCATCGGAGCGGCCTGTTTGGCAATCCCTGCCCACGTCGTTGGACGGGGCTTGGGTTTGGTGGCGCGATTGATCGGCGGAGGCGGACCAGGGCGAGAGTAGGCCACCTTGCTCTTCTTCTGAGGAGGAGGTGGGACCGGGCGATCAACACCCTTGCGCTTCTTAGAAGCGGGGATGCGAGGAGGGGAGGCCGGACGACCAAGGTCGTCCAAAGCCTGCATGAGGACGTCGGGCGGGGCCCCTACGCCAGCGACACCCTCGTCGAGCGGCCCACGGGCGGCACGAGGAGGAGGCCTGAATACGGGAGCCGGGTGGATGGTCGGCTCGTCCTTGGAAGACGTCTCGGCCTCGAGGAGGGAGGCGAGTGAGAAGTTGTCGAGTTCGCCTGGTCCGCGAATACGACTAAAGTCGGTGGCCATGACGGCGTTCACAAAGGACGTCATCTGGGCCACAAAGGCATCGCCCCCATCAATGGTGAGCGGATTGTGGTGCGCGGCCCGCAGAACCCAGTCTGTGGCCTTCGCAATGGAGGTGGTCAATACCTCAAGATCACCAGGAAGATCCTCGACCGTGTCTCGGAACTTCAAGGCGTATTGACCTAAGAGAAGGTCGACAGAGGGGTCCCTCGAGACCTCCTCCCCTCCCTGAGTGCCCTCTACCTCCATCTCCTGGGGTTGGGCCGTCCCTGAGTCAGACTCATCTGTGGACGAATGGGCGGAACCCGTGGTAGAGTGGGACCTGCGGTGGGGCGACGTGTGGCGAGATCGAGCTGGCACAACTGTCGAGTATGTGGCCCTAGTCGAGGTAGGGTCTGGCGATATTGGCGAGGCATCACCGCCAAAGGACGATGAGCCAGCGACCGATGGTGGTATTGCTGGTGGTGCGGAGCCCGAGTCCCCCCCACGACGGCTCCTAGGAACCGCCCCGGGGGGCCTTGCGCCCCGACCTCTCGGTGGGAGGTTGGACATGGTTTGCTGATGCGGTGCAAACGATCAAAAGGGATCTTCTGGCCTGTCGATAAAGCGCTAGACGATGTGCGAGACGGTGAGCTGGTTGTTTGTGCTTGTTGACAAGTGGGCGTTCGAGAGAAAGAGGCGGTTGTGTGCACCTAATGCTCTGCCTCTCATGCATCCCTGCCTCATAAAAACCAGCTGATAATTTAGTATGCTACTAGAGATTCAGAACGAGCCAATAATAATAGCCTTGCATGCATTATTGGTTATGCAATGGGCCTTTCGATGTTTATGTGCTAAAAAACCGAAAAAGCGCACTCAAATCTCTATGCCACACAGGTATCTATCCTTTTCAAACATTATGCATTCAGATAGAGGTTATCAAGGGCTACAAAACGCGCTATTCAGCGTCTCCACGCGTTCATTTGTTCCAAAGATATACCTACAACACTTCACAAGATACCAGAAAAATCGAAAATGTGCACTCTTATATCCCTTCAAGCAAAGCTGGGGTTATTCCTGTCACTCCAACATAATCTGAACACTATCCTAGCACCCTCCCTTCTTTTTCTGTCCTCAAGACTGTGTAGAAACACCCCAATTCCATGACCAAAGACACTTCCTCCTTCTTGCCTGGGGGATTCCCACAATGTTGATGGTGGACATGGCATCCTTCTGGCATGTCCTCTAGTCCCCTAAATCTCCTTGGATAGTTTGGAATAGTTGCTATACTGTTGTTAGAGTGATATAAAAAAAGTCCGACACAAATTGAATAAGAACTGAATATGTTATTCATGCAACTGTCCTTCTGCCTTCTCAATTGCCCTCTCCAAGATTCTACCTCGGATTGGAGGTATAATCCTTGCTCTAAAATTTCTTTAAAATATATATTATAGATTATAGTAACTATCAGGTGTTTGTAAACCCCTCTGAGACCTGTGAGCAATGATACTACCTCCAGTTTCTGGGGTGAACACATTTGACAAACTAGGCGATATGGTGATCACCACTCATCACCAGTCTGTTTGAGGTTCACTGCAGACCTCCTGCCTTCCACAATGACCCAATCACAATAGAAATTTGAGGACACTTAGAAGTAGTCAGTAGAATGTCTCTGCATTGTCTGATTAATTATATATATCCTTGATCTCCTTAAAAGTGGCAATCAGTTCGATTTTTATGTTATCTAAGGTGTCATATTGGTCGTCTCGGATGTGTTGGAATTTGAAGAGGAGATTGTTCCGATTCTGGGACATGTTTCTTCTTGAAGATTGGTGAAGAATTGGGCATCCCATGGGACAAACAAGGTGATTATAGGTAGAAAACCCAAAATTGGCCACTGCAAGTGCATTTGGCATTATTAACTCCTGTATTCTTGCATGGAGGTACCTATATGGCTACTATTGATATGCATATATGTTACAGCTCACATAAATAGCCTGGGGAATAGGAAATGGAGGGTGCATTTCTGGCTTTTCAGGGGGAGGAGGAAGGGGTGCTTATATTATATTAAAGGGGAGTCTATACCATGCCATGTGATTTTTTTTTTTGATCAACAATTTATATAGTGGTGCTCGATGGCAGCCTGCTTGTTATCTACAAACACATACGCTATGCAGCCTGGGTACTAAGTTAACTACCTAAAGATGACCGCCCCCCCAACCAAGACCCTTCTGGTGTATACACTGAAGCTTCCCGGAGGGCAACCCACCTTGCAAAAACAGTGCATCAGGATAAGGGGGGGAAACCATTGAGGTTCTGCTATGCCCCAAAGTCATCAATTGCTGTTCGGAGGCCACACAGCGCAAATGAGATAAGAAAAGCACCACCTGGGAGGTGGCAGGGTGTCTTGAGGACGACAAGCCAAAGATGTGCCTGCCCGAAACCAGACACAGAGAGTTGGCAGCACGCAATCACCCAACCAAAGAAGGCTAACCACATGTACGAAAGAGTTGCCATAGGCACAGGTCTTCAAACCCTAGAGCTTGGTGGTGTCAATTCACCATAAATCCCCCGAAAGGAGGAACAACCCTGCCCACAATGATTATCCGACACCCAAGGGGTCCCAGTTGAAGCCAAACACTGTGGGGTTGTGCTTCATAAACGCTGCAATATCCCTGAGGAAATGGGGATAGTGTACAGAGTATCTATTGCGGCAGCGAAAGAGGACATGCTGGCGAGACTGCAACGCAGCCCCACAAGTGCAGCCATGAGGCTCATTAATCTTGAAGCAATGGGCGGAGATCATCCACCTCAAACCACTCTTGGAGAGCGCGACAGACTGACAGACTGAAAGCCTGACCAGAGTGTACAGAGGGGTCTACTGCTTTATGGGCTGAGCCCATAGAGTCAGTAAAGGCCATAATATGTTGGCAGTTTGCCTGCTTAACAGCAAGGCACACTGCGCATGCGATGGCATTGAGTTCCGCATCAGGGGCGGTGACTCTGCCAGAGACATATCGAGTCCTTTCAAGCTTGTGATGTCCCTTGTAGATTATGGCAGCTGAAGCCACCTGATACTGGTTGGACCGAGGGACAGAGCCGTCAGCTGCAGCCAGTACTGTTAAAGGGTCAGCCCTCACAGTTGCAATGAGCTCATCAAGATATGGATGCCTATCCTGGCTGCATTGCAGTCCCATCAGCATGTCCTCTTTTGCTGCCACAATAGATATTTTACGCACTATCCCCGGTTTCTCAGGGATATTGCATCCTTTTTGAAGTACAACCCTACAGCGTTTGGCTTCAACTGGGACCCCTCAGATGTCGGATGATCACTGTGGGCAGGGTTATTCTTCCTTTTGGAGGATTTATCAGTGAATTGACACCTTCGGCTCTTAGGAGTCAGAGACCAGTGCCCGCAATTATTTCTTTACGCTTGCGGCCTGCTAATATAGTGGGTTGTAGCACCACTAACTTTCTGCGTCTGGTTTCGGGCAGGCGCACCTTTGGCTTCTTGGCCTCAAGACACCTTGCCACCTCCCAGGTGGTGTGACTCTTATTTTCATTGCACTGCATGGCCCCTGAACAGTGATCAATGATTATGGGGCATAGCGGGACCTCGATGGTCTCCTCCTCTTATCCCAATGCACTGTTTTCACAAGGTGGGTTGCCCTCTGGGGAGTCCCAAAGGGTCTTGGTTGGAGGGGCAATTGTCTTTAAGTAGTTAACCTAGTACCTGGGTTGCATAGCATATATGTTCTGTAGATAGTGAGCAGGCTGCCATTGAGCACCACTATATAAATTGTTGATAAAAAAAATTGAGCAAGAGTTTAGTGAACTTGATGTCTTGAGAGAAATTCTCAAGAGCAAGTTGGGTTTGTCAGAGTTCAGGCGAGAGTCAAGCTCCTCTTGCACAACCCAGGGGAAGAGGTCCGGATTGACTTTCCTGCACTGGGAGGTCGACTCAACTTCTCTGTCATCTGAAGGAGAACACCCCCACTTGTTGGCTCCTCCAGCAGTAGTGCCAGCCATGCTGGAGGCAGCTCCACCCAATGATTCCCCATCATCGCCACCTCCTCCAGCAGTTGGTCCTGTGTTCTCGTTGACTTGTTGCTGACGGTTGGCAGCATTGTCTCGGAAGTGGTCAAAGTTGTTGAGGATGGCCAAATAAGACCCGACAGCCTTGAGAGCAGTGTTGGCTTGCTTGACTCCAACATTATCAGATACAATATCTTGGATCTTTGTAATTGCCTCAATCTTGGTCACCAGACCACCACGATAGTCGTCAATGACCTTGTTGCACTGAGCCACAGTTTTGACAGGAAGAGGATTGTGTGTGACAGTCAGTGTATCTTCAGCTGATTGGTTCCCAGCAGCAGGAGCAGTTTCAGTCATAAAGGGATGAGGATCAAAGAGACAATGATGAGGTACGAATGAAAATGCTGAAAGACTGAGGGTGCTTGGAGATGCTGTGTGCACTAGAGAACTCAATGAGCGTCAGGGGAAAATGGCAGAAAGGGATTTATCACGTACCCAAGGAACTGATGAGTGTTGGGGGGAAGATGATGGCAAGGCTCATCAATTCTTGGGTGACATGGATAAATGGTAGGGCTGACTCACCAGGAGGCCCAAGCACCATTGTTGGATCTGGTGCTCAGAGGATCCCAGCACCTGCATGTCATCCAGGATGGAGACCAGGATCTGGATTGCATGTGGAACGTACGCATCCTGGGAGACGAGTGCAGGTGGGTGAAGAGGTTGGAAAGTGAAGGACAATTCACATACCTTGGTGATTAGACTCATGTAAACACATCACATTTAAACCTGAACTATTCACAGTGTACTATCCCTTTCCAGCTATTTGCAGATCTGGGGTGTTTGCGTTTTCAATTTTGGGCTCCACTTGTGTGTTGTATTATCCTAAGAAAATTCCAATAAATCTGTAACACTTATATTAAGAGACCCATCCAGTTTCCAAAAGGAAAACTTGGGATCTCGTTCCAAAATCGAAGATATGAGTTTTTGATGACACCAAAATAGGGCAGTGTAACTGAATGTCGACTGTGATGGCAGTACCTCAAGCTTGCCCAAAATTCAAAAAAAATTATATTGCTACATACTAGCAGCATCCGAACCATTAGTCAAAAATTCAGAGGCAGAGCTGTTAGCCTTGCAAAGATAATTGACAATTAGTAGAAATGGGCGTTTGAAGGGTGACATGTTGTGATTAATTCAATCTCCGCTTCAGCAGCAGTGCACGGGCAGGGCAAACTGTATGTGCAGCAATCGGCCAATCTTCCAAACCTATGTCACAAAAGCCAAAGAAAACCCCCAGAAGAAACCATGCGACAACTATGCCGCCTTCAATGTCCTCTTCCAGACTGAATGGGCATGTGTGGACATCAATAATGGTGCAACCCGATCATTAGATTCATTGCTACCACAGCCAATACAGCTAGTGAAGTGTTTCAAACTGGGCAACTCCTCAGAATGCTGAAGGCATCAGAATGGGGAGTTCTCCCCCCATGGACCCCAGACCACCCCCTGCTGCTGGGGAGGGCTGGGGATGACTGTTTCAGTGATGGAAAAGGCTTGGGAGTGGTTTGATGAGACCCGGGGACTGTTCTGCATCCTTTCTGGGACAATCTGGTATGGGGGAGGAGGTGAATTGGCCTGTATGGGGTGCCACATTACCTTGGCAGTGTGCTTTTTTTAGATCCACAGCTATTTTAAATTTGATAGCCCATGGCATCAGAGAATGATGTCACTGATGTAATCCATCAATTCTTGATGTCCTTGCCTCAGAGAATCTGCCTTCCAGCTGTGGCTGTGCTCATTGCCAATGCGGACATTGGGGGATCAAAATAGGCTCTGCTGGCCTCATCCATGGCTTATTTTGTTACACCACACCTCTTAATGGACGAAACAATTATGCGATAATATTATACATAATTTTAGCTTTCTGTATATGCCAAGAACATCAGGATAGACCTATTTTTGGTAAAGATATGGGGCAAACAATGGTTTATACACCAAAAACGCGAAAATGCGCACCAAATGTGCCCCTCTCATGCCCCCCTGACTCAAATAACTTATGTGATAATATAGGGTAGTTTATTACCTTTAATTTGACCACTTAAAATTGGTTGTGCAGGCAGTATTGACTATTCTATTCCCTTATAGAGCGCATTTTCTAAAAATAGCAAAGAAGCGCACTCAATTCTCTACCATTTTCAGGCATCCAATCCTCGGGGCAGGTCAATGATTCTATAGAGAATATATAGAGCTTTCAAGCGAGCCCTCCCACATGTTCATGCGCTCAATATCGCAGCTGATATCACAGGCTTACCCCTCATGCATGGCAATTTATTAATGGCTGCACATCCATGCAGAATTCCAGCTTCCCCTCACATTATTTCGCTTAGCTTTGACTTAGAGAAATGCTGGGTACACTAATACCTTCCAGTAGACACCCTTATCATGTGAAATGGGTAGAAACTCGTTGAGATATGATGAACATGATTTTGCTGCTATAATACATGGTGCACCCATGCATCCTCAGGCAAGTTTAGGGCCATTTGAGTTGGCCAAAAATGATGAAATACATGCCTGAGAGTAATTACAGCATGCATAATGCCAGGGGGTGTCTGAGTGTAGTAGATATGAGGGGGATTATAGGTACACCAGGAGACCCACTCCAGATACCCCACTAAATGCAGCTCTGAAAGTCTGAAAGTTGGTATGTGGATAGTATATATTTATTCATGAATTTAACATATTTTATCATGATTTTATATGGCCTTGAAGTTGGGTTATTGACCAATTTCCCATGAGCTGAAATATTCTATTGACCTCCAGGAGGGGGGATATTGGCACATGTAAAATCATGATAAATGACGATAAATGGATAGGAGCAGAACAAGGTACCTGTGAGGGCAAGGGGATGATTCTGTGTAAAGTTATTAAGGGGAGAAGGAGGAGGTAATCCTCCACATCAGTATCTATCTATATACTTACAAAATACACATATTGCACCCATTTGATGGTGCGTTCAGGTCAGTAAAATGTTTCTTAACATATTTAAGTAGTGACAGATGAGGCTCTGATGCCTGGGGGAAATGGTATTAGAGAAAGAGCTGAAAATGCGCAAAAAACAGGAAAATATTTAAAATGACTACCTCAGACTTGTTCAAAATTTACCAAACCTTGTATATGAGGACCTATTAGCACTCTGAAGAGACTGAAAAAGACCAGATAAGATTCCGAGCAGTGGGTGGAAAGATATGAGAAAGGAATTCCAAGTGCACCATTTGGATGAAAAAGTTGTTACATGTAAGTATATAGATAGATACTGATGTGGAGGATTACCTCCTCCTTCTCCCCTTAATAACTTTACACAGAATCATCCCCTTGCCCTCACAGGTACCTTGTTCTGCTCCTATCCATTTATCGTCATTTATCATGATTTTACATGTGCCAATATCCCCCCTCCTGGAGGTCAATAGAATATTTCAGCTCATGGGAAATTGGTCAATAACCCAACTTCAAGGCCATATAAAATCATGATAAAATATGTTAAATTCATGAATAAATATATACTATCCACATACCAACTTTCAGACTTTCAGAGCTGCATTTAGTGGGGTATCTGGAGTGGGTCTCCTGGTGTACCTATAATCCCCCTCATATCTACTACACTCAGACACCCCCTGGCATTATGCATGCTGTAATTACTCTCAGGCATGTATTTCATCATTTTTGGCCAACTCAAATGGCCCTAAACTTGCCTGAGGATGCATGGGTGCACCATGTATTATAGCAGCAAAATCATGTTCATCATATCTCAACGAGTTTCTACCCATTTCACATGATAAGGGTGTCTACTGGAAGGTATTAGTGTACCCAGCATTTCTCTAAGTCAAAGCTAAGCGAAATAATGTGAGGGGAAGCTGGAATTCTGCATGGATGTGCAGCCATTAATAAATTGCCATGCATGAGGGGTAAGCCTGTGATATCAGCTGCGATATTGAGCGCATGAACATGTGGGAGGGCTCGCTTGAAAGCTCTATATATTCTCTATAGAATCATTGACCTGCCCCGAGGATTGGATGCCTGAAAATGGTAGAGAATTGAGTGCGCTTCTTTGCTATTTTTAGAAAATGCGCTCTATAAGGGAATAGAATAGTCAATACTGCCTGCACAACCAATTTTAAGTGGTCAAATTAAAGGTAATAAACTACCCTATATTATCACATAAGTTATTTGAGTCAGGGGGGCATGAGAGGGGCACATTTGGTGCGCATTTTCGCGTTTTTGGTGTATAAACCATTGTTTGCCCCATATCTTTACCAAAAATAGGTCTATCCTGATGTTCTTGGCATATACAGAAAGCTAAAATTATGTATAATATTATCGCATAATTGTTTCGTCCATTAAGAGGTGTGGTGTAACAAAATAAGCCATGGATGAGGCCAGCAGAGCCTATTTTGATCCCCCAATGTCCGCATTGGCAATGAGCACAGCCACAGCTGGAAGGCAGATTCTCTGAGGCGAGGACATCAAGAATTGATGGATTACATCAGTGACATCATTCTCTGATGCCATGGGCTATCAAATTTAAAATAGCTGTGGATCTAAAAAAAGCACACTGCCAAGGTAATGTGGCACCCCATACAGGCCAATTCACCTCCTCCCCCATACCAGATTGTCCCAGAAAGGATGCAGAACAGTCCCCGGGTCTCATCAAACCACTCCCAAGCCTTTTCCATCACTGAAACAGTCATCCCCAGCCCTCCCCAGCAGCAGGGGGTGGTCTGGGGTCCATGGGGGGAGAACTCCCCATTCTGATGCCTTCAGCATTCTGGGGAGTTGCCCACTTTTAAAGGTTTCAGCTAGTGGTGGCTACCAATGACAATTTATAAATACTGATTCTCCTTGATAAGTAGAATAGCTTGCTCATAGATATTAATTCATTGCCCTGCGACAACAATTATTGACTAGAAACTTGTCATGAGCTCTCTTGCTCCTGCAAAGCTTGGATGCCAATTTGCCGATGTTGACAATGAGGTGTGACATGCATGATGTTTTCTGCAAACTCCCTGAATTCACAATTCTACATGATCAGGAGGCTTCTGCTGGACTTAATCCTTCTAATTTTCCAAATATTTTTACATGCTCCAGTAGCCAGGACAAAAGACTACATGCCCAACAATTTTGGTAATTTTTGAGAAAGCGAGAGGTGGGATACTATGGTGGTCCATGCTGGACAAAAATACAATGTAAATGAATTTCAGTGATGATTGTGGCAGAACGTGGAAGAAAGTCAGGGAATGGTCACAATAGCCAAGAAACGGTCATGATCATCAATGAATGTTGATGTTCTTTGATGATTGGCACAGAAAGTTACCTTTTTTGGCAGGATGTTAACAATAATCAAAGAATGACACCCCGCAGAATGTCACCGTTTGTCACCGATCTGTTGACAGAGGCCAAAACAAATGAGAATTTGTCTTGACATGGTCTGGCCTATTCTTCCAGTTTCTTCAAGAATCTCTGAGACCCCAAACTGCCTCCATGACACCACACCATGTGTGGGTTTCATATGCCAGGCCTATGCTGGCTGCTCTGCTTGCATGCTGACTAACAGTCGGGCTGTGGGGACCCACCAATCTTAGTCAGCAGGGAAGAAATACCTTGCTGACTAAGATTGGCAGGGTCCCATGGTGTGCTGACTAAGTTGTTGCTCCCGCCCTTCTCATTACTGTTGTGGACAGCAAGCTCGCTGTTCACACCATTTCTGGTCCATTTCCCTCCATTTTTTTGCTAGTATCAATGTATGTAGTTATTAATGAAGTTATGTAACATATATACTGTTGTAAACCCCCATAAGCTGTATAAAATGCAAAAACAATAATATGAATAACAGTCCCTCATCCATACCCAGCCCTAGGCATATTCCCCAGCCCAGGAAGCATCTGGAGTATTTAATATAGACACATGTATGAGTGGGAAGGCCACCATCCAGGTTATGGGAGTGGCAGGATATACAGTATCATGGTGATTAATGTACCTCTCCTCCTACCCCTCTTCCACACACCAATAATGCAACTATTACTATGGTTAGTAGCTCAATTTAATGGTACTACAATAGCGCATTTTTAGGGCCCTCTATTTGAGCCATTTGTATGAGGGCTGGATTGGGGAAAAATTCCCTGGTGATTTTAGACAGAGGAATTTGTATTTTATACATTGTGAAGTCAAAATTAGGATACATGCAGAGGCCATTTTATATGCACACACGACAATTTTATACACACACATGCAGATTTTTAAACACACACATGACAATTCTATATACACATACGTCAATTTTATACACACACACACACGAGGATTTTATACACATACAGGGCGATTTTATATACATGCACAGCAATTTTATATACATACACACCAGTTTTACATACACACACCGACTTTTGATACACACACTCAGCTATCGGCATCTCGCCTGCTGAGCGGAGCTCCAAGCCTCCTGGCAGACCTCAGCAAATATTTGGTGCCCCAGGACACCAAAATTGCTCCCACGGGTCTGCTGGGGTGGGATGGGCTTGGTTGACACCCTTGCAGGCACCCGTGATGCACTTTCCCACACATCTGATGTGCACCAATTTTGGTTCTGCTACCAGTAATGCTGGCATATTTCAGCCAATTCTGGACCAAATTTCTTGGAATAAAAAATATGATAAATCGTAGAATATTAGTAGCTCTCAGTAGATACCTTTTCCATGGCATATTTCTCACATTTGGCAGCTCTAGGGCCAAATTGGTGTACCCCACCTCAATAAAATGTGAATGCAGCCTCATTTCTTTTTATCTATCAGCCAGTTACATAATCTTACTTCATGATCACACATCCTTCCTTGCAAGAGAAGGTCTGTGAGGCTGCATTCACATTTTATTGAGGTGGGGTACACCAATTTGGCCCTAGAGCTGCCAAATGTGAGAAATATGCCATGGAAAAGGTATCTACTGAGAGCTACTAATATTCTACGATTTATCATATTTTTTATTCCAAGAAATTTGGTCCAGAATTGGCTGAAATATGCCAGCATTACTGGTAGCAGAACCAAAATTGGTGCACATCAGATGTGTGGGAAAGTGCATCACGGGTGCCTGCAAGGGTGTCAACCAAGCCCATCCCACCCCAGCAGACCCGTGGGAGCAATTTTGGTGTCCTGGGGCACCAAATATTTGCTGAGGTCTGCCAGGAGGCTTGGAGCTCCGCTCAGCAGGCGAGATGCCGATAGCTGAGTGTGTGTATCAAAAGTCGGTGTGTGTATGTAAAACTGGTGTGTATGTATATAAAATTGCTGTGCATGTATATAAAATCGCCCTGTATGTGTATAAAATCCTCGTGTGTGTGTGTGTATAAAATTGATGTATGTGTATATAGAATTGTCATGTGTGTGTTTAAAAATCTGCATGTGTGTGTATAAAATTGTCGTGTGTGCATATAAAATGGCCTCTGCATGTATCCTAATTTTGACTTCACAATGTATAAAATACAAATTCCTCTGTCTAAAATCACCAGGGAATTTTTCCCCAATCCAGCCCTCATACAAATGGCTCAAATAGAGGGCCCTAAAAATGCGCTATTGTAGTACCATTAAATTGAGCTACTAACCATAGTAATAGTTGCATTATTGGTGTGTGGAAGAGGGGTAGGAGGAGAGGTACATTAATCACCATGATACTGTATATCCTGCCACTCCCATAACCTGGATGGTGGCCTTCCCACTCATACATGTGTCTATATTAAATACTCCAGATGCTTCCTGGGCTGGGGAATATGCCTAGGGCTGGGTATGGATGAGGGACTGTTATTCATATTATTGTTTTTGCATTTTATACAGCTTATGGGGGTTTACAACAGTATATATGTTACATAACTTCATTAATAACTACATACATTGATACTAGCAAAAAAATGGAGGGAAATGGACCAGAAATGGTGTGAACAGCGAGCTTGCTGTCCACAACAGTAATGAGAAGGGCGGGAGCAACAACTTAGTCAGCACACCATGGGACCCTGCCAATCTTAGTCAGCAAGGTATTTCTTCCCTGCTGACTAAGATTGGTGGGTCCCCACAGCCCGACTGTTAGTCAGCATGCAAGCAGAGCAGCCAGCATAGGCCTGGCACATGAGTTGAGTGTGCCAAGCCCCTCGTAAAGTCCTGGGGTCCGACACATTCCTGAAGAAAAATATAAAGATTCTTGAAGATTCTGGCTGGATGTCAAAGAAAGAATGAGAGGCTCACAGTGAAAATGGTAACAGAAAGTTGAAGAAACCTACCATATTGATCTGTGCCAAACATTGAAGATCGGGATATTTCAGTGGAAATCTTTGACAAAAGTCAAAGAACGTCAACAAAAGTTGGAGATTGTTGACAAACATTGACAAAAGTTGACGATCGTCAACAAACGCTGACAATCTGGGACTTTTGGGTGACATATTCATTGCAGGGGGTGGTATTTACATGGTAAGCCCTATTTTTGTCCATGGTGGGCCATTATAGGATACGGATCTGTTACTCCAAAAACCCGCAAACAGCTGGAAAGGGATAGTAGTCACCAAAGAGAAAACAAAGTACTATATTGGATCAGATGTTCGCCCACCCCCTTCAATCGCTCAGTCACATCAATGTCACATCAAATTTGGCAGGGCAATTCACCCACCTGGTTCCCACCCCGCCAAAAGTGTGACATAAAGTGACAAATGGACGAGTAAAACAAACCTCCTTCCCGTTCGAATTTTGGTGAAAAAAATATAGCAATGTTATGAGACACATAATAGCAGCTAGTGTGAAAATTTTCAGCATGAACGGGCCCCTCGGTGCTGAGAAACTCAAGGTGGGCGATTCAGCTGGGTGGGCGACCATCCGATCCAATATAGTACATGCATCACGAGCCCCGGACATTCTGGTGATGCACGAGTTGCTATAGATACCGCAATCACTGTGATGTTGAACAGATCCTCCGGCTTCCTTACTTCGCTTTCTCATTTGCAGGATGGTTTTATCTTCTGTAGGGAGGAAAAAACTGGCTGGCCAGGGTGGGTGTTTTCTAGAGCTTTCGCCCTGAAGATTCAGAATGCTAATGACCAGCCTTAGCTGCCTTCCTCTTTTTCGACGTGGTGGTTTTGGCGCTTTCGGCACGGGTGAACCAATTTCAAGACTTCTTCTGTTCGTGGCTTTACGCTCTCTTTATATTTTGCTCTCATCCATGCTTGCAGATGTGGCAGACATCTTCCCCCTTGCCCTCTCCATTGTTTCACTCGTGCTCGTAGTCATTCTGTGCGTTCCAATTACTTTCAAACCACCAGGCGTTGATCACGACCCGACTATCCCTGCAGGATCGTGATGGATCTCATTCTATACGACTCTTACACCAGCCGGCCGCAGTTCGAGATTGGGTTTTTTGGGGTGCTGAGCATCTTCTGGCTTGGTGCGTGCACTCGTGGTCGGACGCTTCGTTTAATTGATAATTCGTCATGTTTTGCCTGGTCATCGCGGACAGCTTTCAACGTGTTTTCCACCGCTTGTTGGCGTCAGATTCCCTTCAAATGCAATTCCATCCCGGCAGGTCGGTGCCCTTTGTAATCTTGCTCCGCTCGACTGAAGTCCAGCCCCAGAATTCATGGATGAACGAGTGTGGTGCAAAACCTTGCAAGCACTGAAATCATTTGTGTGGATAACTTTCGTTACTTGTGCGTAGCCTCCACTTGGTCCTCGGCATCGTCAATCAATGGGCTCAATTGTCCTTTTACACGCGCGTAAGGCATTGCTATCACCCTTTTCACCCTGCGCTACTCGATCTCCCAGTACAAGCGAGGCAACAAGCATGTCTTCCAAATGCCACTTTCCCGCTATCGTCCCGAAATCGGCCCCAGCAGCGATGCGTTCCGGGCAGGACGAGGTAGCGAGTTCTTGCAGTTTGAGAAGTTGACTTGATTGGCCTTGAGTGGTCCCCTACTCCCGACCCCTACTGGTTCTGTGTATCGTCCGAATTCCCTCTTCTTTTCTTCCAGTCTTGGGGAACTTGCTAGTCAAGTTGGCCCATCCCCTCTTTTGGCTGAGTTATGGCGTTACCTTCTGGAATACCGAGTTGTATTGTACTCCCTTGCATACCCGAATCTTATTCATGAACCCCTGTGCAGTTCGACTCGAACGTCAAAGCACTCAACAATGTCGAGAACCGGGAAGACCATAAATATTCGAAGTATTGTCCATACACGTTCCAATAAATATGATAGGGAGTGAGCCCGAATACGAGAAAGGCGCGAAGGAGGCTGGCGTTTGCATGCGTCGCCGGTCTGTGGCTTAGATGGAAGAGGAGGAGGAAGGGAGAGGTGGCAAAGCAAATACGAAAGCGGCGAGAGGATCAAATGCATGTCGAATTTAGAGCACAGTGGGATAGCTGACACTTTCGCTCAGGTGCTCGTTCGCGGGATTGTATGTGAATCCTCTAAACTGATCCTGCACGGTCTCAGAAAGCGCAGATTCCAACACTACCGAATCTTGCGCTTCCTCGTTCGTGAAATCAGGATCAAAGTTGGCGACATCAAGTACAGATTCCTGTAAAGAAAGAAGTCAATTCAAAGCAGGTGAATGGATTATGGAGACATACGACGCTCGGTTTGTACGGCGGTTGGATTTTCTTCGCCAGCAGACTAAGAAGCCGAGGATGAGACGTGAAAGGTTTCAATGACAAAAATAACAAACCGATTCCAGTCGATGTACTTCGCGAAGAAGGGATGGCGTTTGATCTCCTCCCCTCCATTCACACCTAGACGCTTGGATGGATCACGTTGGAGGAGGCCAGTCATAACGCTCCTGGCCTCAGCCGGTATATCTGGCGGGAAATTGAGAGGATCCGTGAGGATGCGTTGATACATGGTGTTGACGTTCTCATCGTAGAATGGAGGAAGACCAGTCTGTAAAGTGTTCATCAGACAGCCTCATATCGACAAAAGGCCAGGACGCACCATCATCTCATATACCAGAACTCCGAGCGTCCACCAGTCGACAGTTTTGGTGTATCCCTGGCTTTCCAGCAGTTCGGGCGCAATATACTCCGGTGTGCCGCAGAACGCTGATAAAAGATGAGACAAGTTTCTTTCACGGAGCTTGGGGTAACATACTATTCGTCTTTTCGGTTTCAGACATGTTCAGCTTGCAAAGCCCTATCAAAATCCTTAGTTACCCCACCCTTCAGCCGCATGATGAACTTGACGCACCGAAATCACACAACGCGATATGTCCGGTATAGTCCAACAGAATGTTCTCCGGTTTTAGATCACTATGTGGCGTCAGCTAAAATAGTCCAGACAACGGAGGTGAACTCTCACCGATAAACCACGTTGAACCCGTGTAAATGCTCCAATGCACAAAGCAGCTCAGCAGCATAGAATCGACTGCGGTCTTGATCGAATTTCCCTTCGCGTTGAAGATGATAGAACAATTCACCACCATTCACTGATCCCAAGGAATCAGAAGGAAAAGCGCGAGGATCATGGTGTCACTTACCGAAAGACATTCCGAGATAAAGTTTGTCCGGAGTTTGGAAGGAGAATTTGAGGGGAACGATGAAAGGGTTGTTGACCAAAGCGAGTACTGTCCTTTCGGCGAGGATATGTGTAATTTCGCCTGGCCGTTGTGCAATGTGGGCTTTCCGAATCGTCTTCAACGCGTATATCCGTTGGGTATCCTTCTTTCTGACCTGCATCACCTTCCCGAAACTCCCCTTCCCAATGACCTTGAGCAAATCAAACGCCTCAATCGTCAAGGGTTCTCCACGAACGGGCCGGAAGTCGATCTTGAGATGGAACGAGCCCGAGCCAGCAGTTGCATTGTACCATTGGTCGGAGGCGTGCTGGATAGTACGAAGCCGTTAATAATCGTCATGAAACCTGGAAATTATGCATGCTTGCTCACATGCCCATCAAGCATCGGCGTGAGGTCCACGCGACCAATGAGAAGGTCGTTGCCCATATCATCTTGCCCCTGGACTGGCGCAGCGGTTCTGAGATAGGAAGAAACGGAGATGTTGGAAGTACGCGAGACATCGCTGGTGGAGTGACGAAGATAAGCGGCCTACGAGACGGAAGATGAAAAAATTACATACAAATCTGCGCGATAGTTCCAGACAGGATTTGAAAGATCGCCGCCGAGGGCATCGACCAGGACTTCGTTCTTGTCGAACTCGAGCACGACGTAGGGAAGCCACCAGTTTCGCTTGCGTTGCATGCTCTCGCGATTGCTAGTCGATTTTCTGCCCGCAGGAACTGATTCAAGTGCCCTTTGAATGACCTCAGGGACCTGAACACCCGGTGCTAGAGACAGTCCGCGGCCTATAGAGATGTGATAAGCGAGATGGGCTGTACTCATGAGCGAATGAGTGCTTACCAGAGAATATGCGAATGGTCAGCATCCCGGTGCGAAACTGGTCGGAGCCATTGGGTGGTTTGGGCGTAGTCGGGCGAGAGGGAATGGGGGTGACTGATCGCGATATGACGCCGTTCTCCCTCGCGTCCTTGGGTTCTGAAGGAGTTGAGAGGGAAAAGTGGGGACGATGGTGAGGCGGACGTACTTTTTGCGCCGAGTTTCCAAGACATAGTGGTGGTGGTACAAGAAAGACAGTAAGGAACGCGGTTAGTAAGGATTGCAGCCAAAAGTAGCACAACAATGCCCCCGATCCTCCTCGGATCTCTCTTTGCACATCCTCCGTCCCCAAGGCGCCCACGGCATATCGTCCATATCGGTCCCCGCAGCAGGTCTAAGCCATATGGCTTCGATGCTTAGGTTTACCCCAAGTTTGTCATTCAAGAAAGTCGGTGAAGATCGATTGGTGTGATAGTGATTCGAGAATGGCATACCTAGGAAATAGTCCTCGGATTCAACCCGTCACAGCTCAACCCAATGCTAGAATACCATGGAAAATAATACAGATGGAGCTAAAATACAGTCCTGATCATGATGCACATCGTAAAGACGTAAAATCGTGGGTGGTGTCGCGATACATGAGAATAAAGTTAGTCGTCGGTTCACTTGCGAGGAGAGGCTGAAGCAGCAGGTGTCCGTTCGAGTCTGCCGTGTAGACGCTCCAATTCTCTCTCAAGGCTGCATCAGAAGAGGGTAGGTTAAAGCGATGGTACTCGGTCGATAAAGGTAGAACGGACCTGAGAACTCTCTGCTTGTAATCAGCCGCTTCGCGCTCCGCCCTTCGCTTGCCCGATTGGAGGGCGGACTCCTCCGTCAGCTGTAAGAACTTGTCAACATCTTGCACGAACATGAAAAACGGAATTTACTAACATACCATCACATCCATAGCCTGCCGCATGTTTTGGACCTGCACCTCATATGACTCAAGCTTGCTCCGGTTCCTGTCATCGTCCAGCAGCTGCGATTTCCCATCCCTGTTGAGCCTAAGGCTCTCCCGGCGATCCTTGCTCGTCTGTTGGAGCTGGTTCGTCAGCTCCTCGATCCGACTATCCAACCGCCGTGGTGTACTTCCTGTCCGGGACGGCGAGAGTGCATATGATCTCGTCTCTAGATCAACGATCCGAACATTCAACTCCTTGATCTGCTTCTCGAGACTCGCCTGAAAAGCATGAGGCCAGTGTAAAACTGCCCAAGGTAATTGCATACTCACATTTAGCCTCTCCAGCGACGAGTTCTCCACGCGCATTTTATCCAGCTCAATCATCCACTCATTTGCGACCGCCTCCGCCTTCTTGACCCTCTCGTTGGCATTTAGCACCCTGTCCTCCTGCTCCTCCAACGAGCGCTCCAAATCTTGCTTCTTGAGTTGCAGAGTCTGGAACTCGGCATCGGATGAAAGCTTCTTGGAGTCCGCGCTATCCATCTTGATCGTATCAAGCTCCGCCTGAAGCGCTCGTCTGGCGTTAAGAAGCAGCAACCGATTCGCCTCCGTATCGTTCAACACTCCGCGAAGTTCGAGGACTTGAGAATGCAACCCAACGATTTGGGCTTGCTGTTCGGCTTGGGCGCCTGTCGAACCCTCGTACGCCCGCTCAAGGTCCTTAATTTTCGTCTCCATGCGCTCCCTCTCCTTCCTCCACCCGCCGCTGTTGTACACCTCGTCGTCATACCGGAGCTGTAGTTCATCATAATCCGAACGAATCTTGCGGTTTTCCTCGCGTATGCGGCTAAGGTTGTCTCGTTGAGATTGAAGTTCTGCACAGCAGAAATCAGAAATGTGTAGTCATCGTAATAAACTGATGCATACCTTCAGTCAATTGTGCCAACTCGGCTATGTATTCGGGTCAGTGACAGTAATTCTAATAGAAGCCACCCTTACCTTGGTACTTCTTCCTCGTTTGATCAAGGGTGAAGTCTCGCTCTTCAAGGTCCTTCTGATATTGCTCCCGCTCATCTTCAAGGTTCGAAGCGAGTCGTTGATGGAGTATGTTGGTTTCCGAAGATTCGCGGCCTTCTTTCTTGAGCAGCTTGATTTGGCGCTCGGCGTTCTTCAAGGCTTTGGTCAGGTCATCGACGTTCTTCTTGCATGTCCTCTCCATTTCTTCCAGTTGTCGATGGACTAGCCAGGGTCATCAGACCTAAAGATTGTTCGTGACGTCTGCAGGGTGCTTACCTTGATGTTCAGCCCCAGCAGCCTTGACTCTCTCAATCTCCGCTGCCTCGTAACGCTTCTGGAGCACCTCTTCGTTGGCTTTAAGAGCTTGGACCGCGATTCGAAACTCTGGAGAAAGTGTTAGAACGTTGCTTACATTTAAGAGCTTGTTATCCCATACCTGACTGAGCGTTGGACGAAGCCACCTTCGCGACTTCGTCCTCTTGGATACGTGTTTGCAGCTGTCGCTTAGTGTCTATCGAACTAATCAACAGGCATGGAGTCTGAAGTATCAAATATAACTCACTGGAGGCCTCTGTCTTCAAAATCTCGTTCTGTTCCTTGGCCTTATCGAGCTGCTGCTGGAGTTGTTTCTTCGAGATTGTCAAGTCACGCAATTTGGTTTCTCGGTCATCCAGCTCCTTTTGCATCGTCTTTTGCTGGATAAGCTATTCCAAAGACAGTCGATTTAGTCAATGTGCGTTAATAGAAAGAATCATCTAACTTACCACAGCCCGTTTAGATTCCTCGAGGCGACTATAGTTCTCTCGTTCCTCCGTAATTGTCTTCTGGAACTTGTTCCACATAGCTTGAACCCCGTCAGCCTGGGCAGCCTCGGCAGTCCTCCTCGCTTCCGCTTCTTCCTTGAGAAGTGCAGAGAGCATGGTATTCTCCTTCATCAAGCGAGCCTTGTATTGCTCCAAGAACTGCTTTGATCCATCGGCCTTTTCCAGCTCTGTGGTCAATTCACGGATAGATGCCTCCAGATGACGGCGAACGCGATCAGACGCAACCATCTGGATTTCGAGCAGTTGAACTTGCTGTTTGAGTTGAGCGACTTGTTTCTCCGATGCTCGAGGTGGCTCTGCACGAGCGTTGGTTAGATGTGCGTTGGGGTTTTTCTTCGGGGTGGAAGGGGCGGACATGGGACGGAGTTCGTTAGCGCCACTGAGTCTTGGATTCCTGGGTCGAACGGATAGTTCCTTCTTCAAAGCAGCCTCCGCGCGTTCGAACTCGCTCCTTAACTTCGAGTGGAAGTTGGGGTCTGCAGGCTGGTAGACAGGATCAACTGGCGGATGTCGGCGTGTTGCCTTTCGATTTGGTCGCGGATCTTGGAAGCCGTCGCCGTCGCCATCTCTGATTCATCCAGCTGATTCTCGAGCTGCGCAATCCGCGATTCATAGTCCCGCTGGAATTTCGCCAAGGAATCATCGGCGCCGGTTTCATGAACCAATCTTTCCAATTCATCTTCCAGTGCATCCTTCGAACGCTGGACGGCAACGAGCTTTTCAGAGAGCTCGTCGTTTTGGCGATTATTTTGTTGGAGCACTGTTTGGACGCGATGGGCGTGCAGTTGAGCTTCCTCCTTGGCCTTTTGTTCCTTGTCAAGATTCGCCCGCATCTCAGATAGCTTCTTTTCCTGCGCCTTGATCTCTTGCTCCTTCAACCTTAGCTCGCGTTCATATTTGAGACCTAGATCCTCGAATTCTCCGCTCATCTTCAACTTGGCAACCTGGAGAGACTTGATATGGGCTGCATTACGTTCGAGTTGTTGTTTGGCTTCATCCAGTTGTCGGTCTGTGACACGTTTTGCTTCCTCGAGGACGTGGACATGCTCAACGATGGTTTTGTCTTGCTTGGAGGTTAGCTGTTTGACTTCCCACTCCCTCGCCTTCAAATCATTTAGTGCCTTGTTCAGATCCCGTTCGAGAGCGACATTCTGCTCCTTGAGTTTGGTCATTGCAGCCTTCTGAGTAGACGTCGTTTTCTCGAGCTGAGAGCGTTTCGCAACCTCGATTGATAGTTGCTTGCGCAAGTCGTCCAAATCGGCAACCCGTGTCGTCTGTTCGCGCTCTAATGCGAGAATGGCATCTTCGAAGTCACGATATTTGTCTTGCGCCATAGTAAGTTGACGTTCAAGGCTCTAGAACTCGACATTAGCCAGTAATCTTCTACAAAGTACCATATATTACCTGTTTGGTACGTTGAGCTTCGGCAACTTCGCCCTCAGCCTCATGTTGACGACTTCTAGCTGACAGCAATTCGGACTCCAATGTTCGTCGTGCCTTTTCCAATTCGGAAAGGTCAGCCCTAACTTTGGTCAGTTGCGCCTGAGCGGCGCGTTCTTGGTCCAACAGAGAGTTGTGACTCTGCAGCAAGGTTGCATGATCCCTAGCAATTTGATCGAGCTCAAGCTTCGCCTTATTCAGACTTTCCAGGGCATTGCGTCGATGGTCAGACAGCTCTTGTTGTAGTTTGGTCGTGTGGGTGCGTAGGTCGGCGAGCTCGAGTTCTTTGCTCTTCTCCGCTTCCGACCTCCGTGTCTCCTCCGAGGCCTTGGTGGCCAAGAGTTGGCGAAGTTCATCCCGTTCTTCCTGGAGTTTCCTCTTTAGAGCAAGGTCAGCGGCATGATCCTGCCTCTCCACAGTAAGCTGGCCATCAAGTGTATCGAGGTCGGCCTTCAACTCCATGATTTCGTTCGCTGCCATATCGCGCTCCGTCTTGAGAGCATCGAGTTGGTTGGTCAAGAGGGTGATTTGTTCCTCCTTCCTCTGAATCATATTGGAGTACTCTGTCGCGGTCCTCCCTAACTCAGCAAGTTGTTCCTTCGCCTGGCGGCTCTCGTTTTCGAATTGATCGGCCTTGTCCTTGAGCAGTTCTCTGTAACATGCTATTCAGCGCGGCGTTTCGTGGTACGAAGACAATGTCTCACTTATTTCGGGCTTCAACCTCCAACTTTCCGCGCAGCTCCTTAACGGTCGTATCGGTCCTCTTCTTGGTCCTGGCCAGATCCTCCTCGCGTTGGATGTTCAGAGTCCTCAACTCCTCCGAGACTTTCTGCACCTGGTCAAGGTCAGCCTGAAGTGCTTCAATCTCCTCCTGCGCCTTCTTCAACTCTTTACTGAGCTCGATTTCCCTTGTGTCCCAAGCCTTCTCCTCTTTCTCCAGGCGAACAAGGTGGTCAGCAGCTTCGTCAAATACTTCGCGGAGCTTCTCGTATTTCTCTTCACTCTCCTTCTGTAGGCTCATTGCCCGGGATAACTGTGAATCAAGAGTTGCAATATCTTGCTGCAGGGCGTCTATCTCCTCCTCGAGTTCGGCTTCTCTCTGCTTGCTTCTCTCAAGCAAGGCTTCCTTGTCGAGTGTGAGGGCACGTTCTGCCTCGAGGTCGTCCTCAACCTTCCTCTTCTCGGACTCGAGAGCCATCTTGAGCTTCTCAAGAGCTTCGCGCTCCTGCTTGTCTCTTTCTGCGCGTTCTCGGACAAGCGCAAGTTCCATCTCTTTCTGGCGAAGTTCCTCGTCATTCCGAGTCGCTGCAAGGAGAGGCCGGACCTTGAACAAGCTTGATGAGAACTAGTGCTAAGATAACAACATCAATTTACATACCTTTGTATACAGCTGCCACCAGGGCCACTCTCGGAGCTCTCCGTAGACCCTCGCATTCCTTTGAATGGTCCTTACAGCGTTTGCGCGATTCAAGATCTTCTTCATCTGCCTCCTCGTTGTGTACATCCTGGCAGCAGACTGAAGCCTCGAGAAGATGTCGAACAATAAGGCATCGCGTCGTTCTTCCAGTTCGGCGAGAACACCAGCCTTGAAGAAGATCTTCGAGGTGCCCAACTTGAAAATTGTGTCGTCCAGTTCCAGACAATTGACCATGCGCCTACACGCCTCGCGACCATCCATGTATCCTTTCGGAAGGATGCCTGGGGTAAGGATCTCGTAGCGCTGGCGGAATTCTATGAACGGAAGACGATTGGGATAACCAAGGCGAGCAATTCGAATGCCCTCCAGAACACCGTTGCACCGCAGCTGGTCTAAAACGAGGGGTACATCCATGCGGCCTGGTTTCTTCAAATTGTTTGGAACGATGCAACGAACGAAGTGGGGCTGAGTTGATCTGAGTTGCGTCATCAAGCTCGCAAGCTGCTCTTTGTGTCTTTGAGCAACAGTGCGGAATGCACCCTTCTTGAGTGCACGCTTCTTGCCCACAGTGAGAGGTACGTTGGGAAGATCTGCATAGTCAGAAAACAGAGCGGCCACATATCTGTCACTTGAGGCAGCCAGGACGCGGGTGATGTTGTCATTGAGCGGGTCCTTGTTTTTCTCGAGCCAACCATCCGTGCGATATTCCACCTTCGCAGCATAATGATGAATGATGAAACCCTGTTTCATACGGGCTGTGGTCTCGAATTTCTCCTTGCCGGGATGCCAATCTTGCTCGTTGTTCCGTCCACCCCACTTGGCCCTCAACTTCGCCGTGAAAGTCTGGTCATCTCCGTTTGGCATTATACACTCCTCGTCCAGGAAGCTCAGGATGCCGATGACATTGCCACTGGCTTCGATCAAGTCAATAGTGGGTTGCAGATCCAGGCCAAAGTTGACGTAGTCCCAGTGAATGTTCTCTCGAGCATATTCTTCCTGTTCGAGAACAAACATGTGGTGATTGAAGAACTGTTGCAGTTTCTCGTTGGTGTAGTTGATCAGAAGTTGTTCGTAGCCATTGACTTCGAAGATCTCGAACCCAGCGATATCGAGCACACCGATGAAAGTCGACTTGGAAGATGGTCGATCGAGAGCACGGTTAACCCGGTCCACGAGAGCTCCAAAGGACCTCTCATATAATGTCTTGCAAAGGGAGGAAAGTTCGTCTAGGGCTTGCTGCCTTGTTCGCGCGCTGGTGACCCATTCGTGGCCACCAGCAAGAGATTGTGGCCGAAGAATTGCGCGAATAAATTCAGCAATAGGGAGCCCGAGGAGATGGCAAACACGTTCGGCTTGGGAAGTATCGGGCATCGTGGCATCGTCTGACCGTGAGGAGAGGATTTCAATGTTGCCGATGTGAAGGATAGCTGCCACAATGCGGAAGAGGTCGAATTGCTCAGAGGGATCGAACCCAACGACGTCTAACGCGTTCTGCGAAATATCGAAACGGAATTCGAAGAGGCGTGGAGAAGAAGTCGTACCTTCAAGGCAAGCCATTCCTCTATATCATCCACGCCATCGACTTCTCTCCGACTCTTGTTGAGGTATTCGTAATCTTCGACCTCTCCATCGAGGAGCAATTCCTCTAAAGCATGATGAATTTTGGGAGGGGGAGAGGCAAAAGTGAATCGCACCCTTCAAGTCCCCTCCACCGGCCAACAGCTGATAGAAAACATGAAAGCTCCGCTCTGCCTCGTTTCTATAAACGACCCGACTCTTCTCCAATAAATACCAGTCAATGTTTGCCCCCGCGATGCTGCCGTCGGGAGCGAACATAATCCGCACAAATTTGCCGAAACGACTTGAATTGTTGTTGCGTTGCGTTTGTGCATTGCCGAAGGCTTCCAATATTGGGTTGGCTTGCAGGATCTGCCGTTCTAGGAGACCGAGTCGACCCTTCGCCGTCAAATGAGAGCCACTTCCCGACGCAGACATTTGGCCCTTGCGGACAATCGAATTTTTGCGGGCCAATCCCGAAGAAGATGGAATACGAGCCAATGTGTTAGATCTTGAATGGCCGGGGGTTGGATGGACGTCGGTTGCGATGGCTGCAAGATATTGGATAACTTTCTTTGTGCTTTCTGTTTTCCCAGCGCCAGACTCTCCGCTATACGCATGTTAAAAGGATGGCTGGCTTAGATATTGGCACAGGCGCACGTTATAAGGATGCTCTGGTTCTCGCGCTCCTCTCCCATATTGATCCAAGCCCGTTCAGCAACTGCGAAAACGTGAGGAGGATTTTCATCACGTCGTTTCCCTCGATATTGTTGGATGACGGCGTCAGAATAAAGTGGCAAACTCTGATACGGATTAATGGCAACAAGGAAAAGGCCTGAGTACGTCTGCAAGAAGCGCTGATGTTGGAAGGTCTGCAAACGACGAGTTGTTGATTCAACTCACATAGATAGCTTCTGAGCCATATCTCAGACGTAAATTGTGCACCACACTGGCTTCGTTGAGGAATGTAAGGTCTGCAATGTCTTCTACTCTATCGAACTTCGGAGGGTTCATCTTGAACAATTGCTCAAAGGGTACTCTCCGCGTCTTTGCAAGAATAGTGAGAAACTGAATGGAATGAATGTGCAAATGACGCACCTCTTTTCCATCTCTCATTATGACCTCTGCGGAGTCTTCATCCTCACTATTCACATATCCGGCAAGGTACCCTTCCCTGACATCGGGAACCCAGACCCATTTCCTGGCATTAAATTCTGCCTGTTCAGCCGCAGAACGCGCCGCCTCAGCACTCAGAGACAGCCTATGATCCGACATGGTTCAAGTTGCAGATATTGACGCGCATTCAACACGGAGATGGTATGTGTTGATGTTGGGGTATGCTCGACTGGATCCAGTAGATGATGACAGGTATAAAGCTGAAATTGCAACACAGTAGTAGGCAGAAGGCGCTGAGGAGAAGTGGACGTCGGAGAGCGAGGGTGGGTATATAAGTATGCAGCTGATATGCAGAAAGAACTAAGGGCTTGAGTTGTTGGACGCGTCAGGGGCGTGACTGCCTTCCCTTGAACCAACATCCACAAATCGGGCAGTCGGGCCAAGAGATAAGATAAGATTACAAAATTGTATATTCTGGTCCATTTCAAACATGAATTATCGTATTACATTACTCAGTACTAATCTTAATGCAGGGAATACAATCCAATAAAGTCATGGAGAGAGAAATCATTGAGCAAACTGACCAGACAAAAGCATTAGCAAAGCCATACCCATCGAGAGAGTTCAACTGACCTGAATAACCAGGGAATCGGCTAATGGCGTAATGTGTCCTGACGAATTGATATATCGAGTGGCCTGGGTACCGTAGAAGTCCTCTTTGAAGCGGGTGAATGATCCAGAAAGACCAGGTCCCCGTTGCAGGTCCTTCAGCTTGAAGATAGCCGCAAGCACACCAGGCACGGTAGACTGGAAGAACTCCGAAGTCAATAGCCCAGTTTCACCAATGAAGGAAGCGAGACCGGGGTTTGACGCTGCCCGCAAGTAATCCGCGTGAGCTGGTTCTGGGCCAAATACAGAGGACTATCAGAGATGTATCAGTCTCTGCGGGCGAATCATTCAAACGAAGACAGGCGCTTACATCCTGATTGGCATTCGAAATGCTGGCGAATACATTGTTGCCAGCTTTCACTTCAACAGCAGACCCTAGGATGGCATCCTGGGCAGCTGTCCTGTAAACCCCCGCAATCTAAAAAAGTTTCAGGAAACGCTTGAATGGTTGCAACGGTTTTGAATCTCACAGGAGGGTTCAGGCGGAGAGCCTCGTATGCGTATCCCATGATCTTGCTACAGGCATCTTTCTCTTTCTCCATCAATGCCGCGAGGCGAAGGATCTCCTCTCTCGCGACTTGCTTGTCCTGATCAAGGTAAAAATCGACGATATGGGCTACCGCCTGGGAGTACAGCGCCACTGTAGGGATGACCGCGGCGAACACCTGAGCTGTAAATTCAGTCCGTGTGTAGTTCTTCCCAAGCTTGTGCCACAGCTTCTTCAAGAACATGTGGCTGTTCTTACCACCGATGCCCATATGATTGTGAGCATCACTGATAGAAAACTGCAGATAAATGAATCTTAGCTGGACAGAAGACAGGTAAATTGACAGTGTGCACGAACCCGGAACGTCGATGCGACGTGGTCAAGGTGGGGTTGGAGCATCTCTAGGATTTCCTTGGATGCCTCCTGGGAACAGCCTTGCAGCTTCCAATCATCGACGGGATCGTAGTTCAGGTATACATATCTAACGAGAGTGAGATGGGATGCTCCCGATAACGAAACGATGTAACTCACCGAGCCACATCAGCCCACTTCTGATAAGTTGGTTCTTCGTACCAGACACCTTGAGGATTACTGTACGTCTTCAAGGGAAGACCAAGCTATTACCACCCGTCAGTTGTCTCATCGAAACGTAGAATAAGGAGTACGTACGATATCAGAAGCCCAATGAATAGGCAAGAGGTTAATGACATCCTTGACGATATCAACGCATTTGGTCTTCGAGCCAACCTTGTCGAAGGACTTGTTCTCGATCAGCGTCTTCGTCTTGTTCACGAAGTACGATGCGAATTCGGGATCCGGCTTGTTGAAGATAGCTTTCGAGACATCGGCGGCACCCGCTATCAGCTTCCTCTTCGCGGACTCGATGGCAGCAACCCTTCTGTCCTCGCCCCTGACAGTGTCCTTACAATTAGATGACATGAGTAATGAACCACGCAAAATGTAAGTCGCAAATGGCTCACCTTCTTCTTAACAACCTGAGGCTCAACAGTCTTGAACAACCTGCCACCATACGCCGACAAGTACGCCGACTCATCCTCCAACACCTTCTTCACATCCACAAAGCGGTCCACTGCGACAGTCGGAGACAGCCTGCGTGGCTCCGTCCACGTGTATTTGTCCACCAAATCTGGGCTCATGTGGCGCATATGATCCTCCATGTACTCGGGCACGAGGAAGGGGAAGTGCGCGTACGCCGAGCCGCGGGGATAGAAGTCTGGCAGCATCTGGAAGAGGAGCTTTGTCAAAAGGCCCCCGTATGAGCCGTCCTGGGGGTCATATTGGCAGTACTGGTAGCCCCAGGATGTGAAGTTGAAAGCTAGAAAAAAAAGATGGCGTTGGTTAGGCTCGCTATCTAGACAGGTGCGTAAGAAAAGGGGACGTACGATTAAAGTCTGCGGTCAAGAACCTGTCACCACGGGACAAGGAGACGGCGTCAGCCAGGATTGCTCGAGAGATGGTGTATCCCGGGCAGAGACCTGCACCAGGGCCAGGTTTCTTCGCTTCCTCGGCTTGTAGGCCAACATGCAGCTCGAGGTTGTCGATATCCCTATAGAGAGCCTGAGCGGCATCCTGCACGATATTGTAAATATGCAGGTCACCGAGATACCGGAGAGGAACGTACGTAAATCTCCGGGTCAGGATTCCACTCCTTGAAGCTGGCATATGCTGCAAAACAAAGATATTAGCACCCATTCGACCCCTACGTCAAGGAACCTGATTTACGTTTCAGTCCCAAGAACTTTCTGAATTCATTCAGCTAAAGCAAAATTAGTACGCGGTGGCAAACGCTAAGCAGACACAACGAACCGAACAGGTTCCCCAGCTTCTCGACTGCTGGATGCCCATGATCTCGATAACGCGGAGCGCCTCGGGAATACCCCGCGCTTTGAAGGCACCAGCATACGCCTTTGTCGCACTCTGGAGGAGTCGCGCAAGATCCTCATCCTTGAAGCGACCCGAAACTTCACGCTTGATCCTGAAACCGCACGGTCAGCTCCACGGCTTCGCATCCTCATCTACCAATCCATACTTACCTGCCGAACTCCCACTTGGTAACGGGCTCCTCGACGATGAGTTTCTTGTGTGCAGCCCTCTTGAAGTCCTGAGTCGTTACCTACGTTGACCGCCGTCATCAGCCTACGAGAGGACCCACATAGACAAGCACTAACCGTGCTAGGATCAGCTCCTTCGAAGACGTTGTCGAAGAAACCAGTGATCCACTCGGTATCTGGTTCGGACAAAGTCGCGTGCCACCTGTAGAGCAGGTTGAATTCGACTGAGCAGACGTTGCCCTCTCCTGTTGGAGCAAAGTCATGGTCTAACTCCCTCATCGTCTGAGTAGCGCATCGTTAGCATTGCGTAAAAAAGAATGCGATTGGAGACGTACCATGAGAGGATTCAGGCGCCAGTCGGTCTCATCGCGCACCAAACCAAGAATAGCACCAACATAGTCTGTACAAAGTACTCAGGCACTCTGCCAGGACACATGAAGACAGGGCTCACATACCGCCAAGAATGATCTGCATAAAATACCCGCAGTTCACCAGACGTGCACGATGGAAAATCTCATCGTCCTGAAGCATGATGGCATCCCCCTGCGGATTCTGGTTATAATTGCCATTTTCATTGATGTCGCGTATGCGCTGGGCAATGAACTAGCATCCCAGACAACCAAATCAGCATCCTCAAACCAGGGCCTGACATGAGGAAAAGGCAGAGAGAATTTCTTGACATACGTTGTGATTGCGGCTGAGGAGGACAAGCAGCGCACAACTGGCCGGGGGCATCATCAGCAGTCTCTTGTCAGCGAAGACGTCTTCGTAGAGGGCGCCGCTACCATCTTTCTTCCTTATCGAATCGACCTCCTGGTCTGAGCTTCCGTAGAGAATGCTGAGGTCGAGATAGCTGCTCGCATCATTTATCGTCCAATCCGTGTGGTTGGTGTTGAAGATGCTATGGATGACGAGGTCTGCGAAAGCGAAGAAGAGAGCGGAGATGCCAGCAGGGTGCTTCTCGAACTTGTCCCGCTTCAGTAGGGTGTCAAAAACGAGGCCAGGATCGGGTAGCGCCGACTTGGGTATGATGCGGGTTGATGATACCGAGCGCGCGTAGGGTGAGCCTGCCTGGCCTAGGGTCGGGAAGAGTGGGTTGTTGTTGGACCCATCTGCTGATCTGAACGCATACTTGACGCGGGTCTGGGGGACGTGGCTCTGGCTTGGGTTGACTGGAATCGAGCAGAGATATCCTGTTGGCGGGTGCGGTAGATCCTTATAGACTGAAAGGGACAAATCGCAATTAGGTTCCGTCGCCAATCGCGTAAGAGCAATTAGGGTCCGACGTACGGAGGTTAATGACCATCTGCTGCATTTTCTTGGACACGGCGTAGTCCTTCGAGCGCGACATGATTTGGATGAGCTTTTCGAGCTGAAGGTGTTGCCGTCAGTCGGGGGGTTAGCGGGTGTCGTGAATAGCTGACTCACCAAGAGTTTTCTGTCATCGAGGCCAACGCTGTTCATGTTCCTGATAGCATCCCATATCGCGGGCTGCAGACCTGTCAGTTTGGCGACGCACAGGGTGAAAGAGAGCTCACCAAGTCGGAGGTGCTAATGGCGGGCCTGTGAAGTTGGTCGATGACCGCGTCGAGGGTCTTTTCGAGGGAGCGGGTGACTGGGATTGCGCCGTCGGTGTCGAGGGGGGCGCGCGAGTCGTTGAAGTAATCGATCCTCTTGGAGAACCTGCGCATTAGAGACATTATGATAAGGAGAATTAGGGAGTGTAGACTCTGGAGAAGTGGGCGTATAATTGGCGGCATGGTACTGGCTATAAGTACTTTGGGATTCTCAAGGGTCGCGTAGATTGGTTCCTGGCGATGCGCGCTTGTAAGGCTGCTTTGATGGCACGGGTAGACGGGCTAAGTGATCGGAGGAACCCTGACACACGGACACAGCTATCCCCCGAGACACAAACAACCAAGTCTCTGTCCAATTTCCAGCTTGGCCGGATTCAAGTTTCAGCTAAAGCCAACGCTCCAGGTCAGCTCCGCTTTTCCTGCCGTTCCTACCGCAGGAACCAATGTCTTCTCAACTATACTCAATTCCGAAATTCGGGGGTTCTCGCTTCTAGACCCTCTCACATCAGAGCACGGGGTCCAAGTCAAACGGCCAGGGTATCCGAAAAAAGCAGGACAAGAATATAGCACGTCAAACGCAAAAATCTCGAATGCAGTGCAAAGCGCCAGGGGTAGCGATAATCATAGTATGATGAAAAGAGCATGGCTCGGCCGCGATGGTCCATACCACATCACGCTTCACATGATAACGCAACAAGAGTTTTGCTGCAACGATCATGGGCGCTAGTTAATTCCGAGGGCTTCTTTCCGAAAACAATACAAGGCATACCTTCTTTGCTGTCTTGTAGAACATCTTGCTCTGCATCGACAGCGCATTCGACCGCTCCACGAGGTTGTCCAGCTTCTCTCCCCGCTGGAGTACCGATTCTATTGTTTTATGCTGAAAAAATCATCAGTGGTCGTCCACATATCCCTGACACAACGGAATGATAATCGGAAGGGACGCACCAAAACAATCTTAGTCTCATCAAGCTCCTGCTGCACACGCATAATCGTATCTGCCTGTCGTGGATCTTGATATTTCTCGATGTACGTGTTGATTTCCGGGAACGAAATGGAGGAAGGGCTGCTGAACGACGATTGAGGCACCTTGGCAGTGAAATCATCAAGGATCTTCGTGAGCAGTGAGAACGCAGGTCGGACAGGGTACTCTTGGTCCGTAATTATGACAGCTTTGGGATTTCGGGTGCGCAGTACCAGTCAGCCACAGTCATCCAAAGAGGCGAAGCAATGCAGACGAGAGCTCACCTGCGAGCTGCTCAGCACCTCCACGATTATACACGTGGGCAACATGACTCTGCTCTTGCACAGTCTGACGCTGTCCTTGCGGTGTGCGGTCTACGACAGTCTTGGTGAGGAAAGTAATGAACTCTCCAATTGAGCCCCTCTGGTAGAAGCTGTAGGAGGATAGGTCCGTGGCCGAACTCAACACCACGGATGAACCAGATGGGGGAGCGAGGACAATGGATATCGAGTATATCTTCATTATTAGAGAGGAGAGGTATCGTCAGTGAACGTGAATGTCGTGAAGAGAGTAGTGTTGTAGTGAACGTTGTGGACTAAGCCCGAGCTCGTTGCGAAACGCAGTCGGCAGTCTGTCACGACGCACGTGATGTTACAGTGACGTATATCGCATCATGATCCTTCAAGTTCAAGTTCCCCGCCTCATGCGCAGCGTATGCTCCTTGCTAGATTGACAACGTTACATTACCATGCAAAAATAACGTCATAATGGAAAGCAACAAGGAACTCTTGTTACGAAGAAGGCAAGTTCCGACCTCCATTTTCTCAAATTTCCGATACAACTTTGAAGTATACAAGTCTTACTACCTTCTGCGCAGCTCGGCTGGACATCCTTGTCTGCACAATCACCGCGTCGGAACGTTCTACAAGAACTCAAAGCATCTCCCCGCGTCAAAGTAACTATCCTTGTACCGACGCAAACGTCTTCTTGTGAGAATTCCGGCACTTTCGAAGCCTCCAACACCGCGACCGGGATTCCTCGCAATAGAAGTCGATAGAAGAAAAGGAACAAATCGCATCAAGCTATCCTGATCCTTCATCCCACACTACATTTCCGCTGCAATCCCGTCTGAATCCGTGACCTCGTCCGTCAGCAAGATCTCGTCATTCAATGATCTACAAGGGCCTCAGCCATCATCGAACCGGTTTGAAGGTAGTGAAACCATCTAATGATCATCCAGTAACTAACCACATTGACACGACCCAAACCCGACCTAGATGTGTTCTTTATCATTAACGATCACGACACTTTACAGCCTGTGCTATGTTAATAAATGGTGAGGTGGTAGTACTCATGGCCGCCACGTGTGAGGTTTTGACTTTACGCCCCACGCACGTGATGTCCAAAACGGGATTTCATTATGTAAACCATTATCTAATCGACCCAAACAAACCGCTCGATTGCGGGCTGTTCTGAGCAAAGCCACTCTTGGTCCCAACTGCCACCATCGTCAATGACCCGACCCTTCCCCCTCCCCTTTTCACCCTTTCCTTCTCTTCCTCCTCCCCTTTCCACCTAATATAATCCTCCTCGTCGTTGACCGCGCCCCTCTCCTTCCAACATCACACGTACAACACGGAAGTGCATGCACCAAGGGAAATGGAAGAGCACAGTGAAAAGTGGCACGGTGCGCACATGGGCGCAGTGGGCTACGGCAGGGGTTAGGCACTGGAGGCCTCGGAGGGCGTCAAACGCGATGGGTTAAATGCAGCCTTCTCCCTCCCCATCGCGTCGGCCACGTTCAGGTCTTGTGTCTCCGACACCGTGCCCAGCGTCTCTGCTTCAACCAACGTCCACCCTAACGACCTCGCGCTCTCCTTCCTTCCTCGGCTCGGCAAGAATTAGACACAGATATTGTATCTTTTAAATGATAATACATCATACTTTCGATCACTTCAACACCTGTATGAACAATGTTTATTGAGCTGCTATTGATGTTTATAGACTTAGTGCATAATTTCAGATTACTGATGGTGGCATGAGTGGCTCTCAGCCAAACGAGCCAGTTTGTGAACTTGCCTTAATGTCAGCGAACCACCTTCCTAGTTGGTGTGTTTACATAGGTGTCACCAAATCGGGACATCACATGCGTGGGGCGTAATTCCGCCAACTCCACGGGTGATGTCAGTCACACCAATGTGTCACACCAAACAGATTGATTGATGACTTTAAAATCTCAAGTACTGGTCTTCGTTCTGCAAATCAAGCCACAAAACTTTGACATTAGATACTTAGATATATGGAGTCCATGAATGTAATATTAAAACCCAGTATGTCCCCCTCTTGCAGCTAGGGCAGCCTTAACACAACGATCCATCTTTCCAATTTGATGATTGATAACCTCCACGGAAATCCCCTCCCACGCATGCAAAACGGCAACGCGCAGCCCATCAACAGTTGTAGGCGGATGTGGAAGGTGTCTGAGAGTTGATTTAAGAAGGTGCCATATGGGTTCGATGGGATTTAGGTCGGGCAAAGAAGGAGGATGTGGGAAGAGTGGGATGCCATGTTGGGCAAACCACCTCTTTGTGACCTTGCTGCCATGGCTGGGAGCGCCGTCTTGCTGAAATGTCATATCCCCTCTCTCTTGGTTTAAGAGATAATAAAAAGGAAGGAGAACAGGCTCGAGAACCTGTTCTTGGTAGCGTGTAGAATTCATACCTCCTCCCTTGCCCCCTGGATACTCCAACACAACCAAAGGCCCTTTCCAATCCTCAGTGATGCAGCCCCAGACCATAACATGTACTGTTGACTGCTTGAAGGTTGGAACTAGACATTCCTCCAGTAATTCTTTGTCTGGTCGCCGCGTAACATAAATCCGACCGTGATCATCCCCGAGGTAAACATAGCACTCGTCGGAAAACATGGTACATCACCAGTCGGAGGGCCGGAAAGATTGGTGGATGCGCGCCCAATTGAGTCGTTTTCGTTTATGAGCAGGTGAGAGGTACGGCACCTTGCGTGCAACCCTCCGGTGAAATCCTTGTGCGGCAATGACACGTCAAATAGTCAAAGGTGATACGCGGGTGGCAAGTCAGTTTGTGATCTCTGTCAATGGCATTTGTCGATGCTTGATTACTTCGTGGATGACCTGTCATTTGCCATAGTCGGATAGCTTCTCTGACGGACCCAGCCAAGGTTTGTTGGACGTTTCCCTGGTCTCCAGGAAATGTTTGTAGATGTGTTGCGCTGTACGCTCGTTGACATTCTCATTCCGGCCTGCTGCCGCTGCATTTCCTGAGGCCTGGGCATAACCGATGATTCAATTTCTCGTGGGTGTGTCGACCTCATGGCGTGAGGTTTTCGGAGGTGCCATTCACATGTATACAGAAGGTGTGTGGAAGACAGGAAAAGGTAAACAAAGAGATGCGACCTAAGCAACGTGACTGTAACTATTACATAAGTGACATCACCCATGGCAGCCATGAGTAGATTGCTCTAGACTCAAAGAACCCGTCTTCTGTTTGTCGGAATTCTGAACAAGTATAGGCATATAATCTGAAGGCCTTCTTTTCCGTTCAGGATACCTGTCGACGGTCACGGACTACTTCTCTTGCATAGACACCTATATGCCATCTGCCTGGTCCACCGTGCGTACGCTCCTACTGTTTGCAGCATAGACGTACGGATAGAAGCTCTCTGCCAGGCCGATGACGGAAATTTGAGCAGAGCAGTGAAAAGTCGGACACTGTCCTCAACTCTACCAGGTCTAAAATTATGCCACACGCATGACCAACTCCAAGCTCGTTCTGCACCTAATCACCTCCCACTCAGCTCTACCCAACCCACTTCTCAAACTCTCCAATCATCTCCTCTCCACCCACCTCTCCCCTAAACAGCACCTCCAAATCTTCCTTGCGCATAAACTTATGATCCTCCCAGTCAAATCCCGGCACAACCACCTCCGTGATCAGACAATTTGTCTGGTCCCTCTCCTCCTCTGTGCCCCTCTTCGCCCTCACCATATCGTCCTCAAGCAACTGAGAACGTTTCCATATGCCCGTGCCAACGATGAGCAGGCGGCTCTCGCCAGACACAAGGTTAGTGCCCATGACTTCCTTCTGGACCGTCGGTGGGTTGCCTGGCTGGATGAGCGTGTACTCGGTGCGCCCTTGGTGTAGGACGTGGTACGTCTGCCAAAGCGCTCGTGTTCATCTTTCATCAGACTGGAGAAGAAAACCGTGTCGACCTACTACGGATTTGTTCATGTGGAACTTACCCTCCGGGCGGTCGTATGCGAGGAGGTAGTATATCGACGTCGCCAACGGGCGCCTCTTCTCGTCTGCAGTGAAGGAGTGTGATATGTATCAACAACGCGGGTGTGCATGTCAATCTACAAGCTATGCGATGCGCATATACTTACCTGCAAACGGCAATGGAATGTGTTGGTCCTGGCTATCTGTCAAGACGAAGTACCCTGGCGATCCCAAACATAACCCAACATCAATCGTCAAGTTTCTTTCTCGCAGAGATGAAGCAAAGGCAGCCCGAAGCAATAAAGCAGCAGTGGTTGTACGTCTCATACCTCCCTCGATATGTTCCTCAAGACCCAGCTCCTTAATAAGCGCCGTGCTCGTCTTCACACCCTCATACTCAATCACTGACATTGCCGTCATCCTTTCACTCCGGTGCGCGATGGACGGGGGGAAATATCAGTGGTTACCACAACGCTCGATATTCGCCTCCATGGCTTTTTATATTCATTCATGCCCCCAGCGATAAGCTGCGTCAGCACGCAAGCTCGGCGCCCGCATGGGGTATCGACCAGGATCCATACATGTACGTCGGCTTGGGGATAGTCTGCGATGCTGTCACCTAGCACTGCGTCAGGGCTTCCGCTGGTCAACTCATCGCCCAGTCCAACGGCTAAGAATAAGACTTTCTACAGTGTTTCATGACACAGAGAATCTCTGGCGCTGACGCTGACGACGTGATACTACGGATACCCCGCGAAGTGCTTAGGAAGGTTGACCTGACCTCAACATTCAACCCCGACCATGAAGAAGAGAGCGAACCGTTCTGGCCTCTGACTCGCTGTCATCAGCTTATCAGGCTATCTCTACCCCTGATACCGATACCCCTGATACCGATACCCCAGGTTCCAGAAACCCAAGCAATCCGTGCACGGAATATCCATAAGTGCGCCATCGAAGTCAGCTCAGTAGGTAAATACGCTCGCTGCTTCAACACTAATTGCAGACGGCCATTTCGCAAAAGCCGTATATAATCCAACTGACAGGCCTATTGCTGAGAAGAACCAGCAAACGTGAAGGCGTCCTCCTGCCCGTACCGACTCGGAGTTCCGATTCTCATGGAAAACCAAGGGTGGTTGAGGGTCTGTAGACTGCAGGACCTCGTCCTACCCCCAAAGTCAATGTGGTTGCCGAATGCCAGAGCGGCCAAAGCGCGGCAGCATGTTTCCCTCCTCCTTCCCAATGCAACCGCGTCACTACATACGTACAACTTGCAGGGTTCCCCAGTGTCTTCACCGTGCTTCTTTCATATTCTCTCGCAACGCTTCAAATCAACACGCGTCTCGAGTGATTCCTCTCTGAGCTTCAGCGCCGGAGAGCACACCCACTCTCACCTCTCTCCCCTCCAATCGCTGTCCTCGGTCATGAACAATTACCCTATTGTCACAAACAACATTTAGGTCACGCAGGCCCTCGTCGACGATGCCTGGATCGTGGATGACGTTGAGAAGCGCAGGGAACTCGCCTGTCCACCGCGACCGGTTAATGGTGAGTCGAAGAGTGGTGGGTCATTGAGAACCTGAAGAACTGATCCATCGCGATGTATGGCATGCCAGCTATCCAGAAAACCACCATATATGTATTGACCACTTCTGTTGAATTCTCTTTATATCCGCAATGCGATGCACACACGCCTCGCCGGACTCACAATTTACCATCATCCCAGGCGGTGGTGATAGGCTTATGTCTACAACCCGAAATGAATAAATGGGACCCACGCGATGAACGCCTTTTCACCAACCACCTCACGAAGCTCTCGAACTGCACAATGCAAAGCATGGGCAGATCTGGTGCTATCTGGCCTTTCCTCCCTCATTGTACTCCCCGTCTCAGGACGACATAGCAACTGCCTATACACCCCATCCGCCACCAACGGTGCGTCCCGATCCCTAATCGACCACATCGTCGCCACTACACTCTTATACCCAGCCAGCATCATCCCAGCTGCCAAATGCACTGCCTCCTCCGATAGCTTCTCATCCCCCGACGCTGTCTGGCAGGCTGACAAAAATGCTAGCTCTGCCAAAGGGAGGGATTTACACCTGGCAATAATCTCGGAGAGCTCGAGGCGGCCTTGGTGAAGGCAGAACGCGCTCTGGGTGGGCGCATCGACGCGTTGGACAGCGTGACAGGCAAGGTGGACCCAGTTGTGGTTCGTCATTCCTTGGAGGATGTTTGAGATAGTAGCTTCAGACTTGTTGAGCCATTCAAGGGGTTGGCCAGTGGAGATGCAGTGTTGTCTGATACTTTCGACTTCGTTTTCTGTTTTTGGCAGGGGTGACTGGTCGGGTGTGGTGGGTTGGCTTATTGCCAGGATTCCGTGGAACTGGGAATCCTTTTTGAGAGGGTCTCTGAGGAGGGCTGTTAGGGTTGGAGTGTAGGAGGACGTAACATATTCGAAGACTTTGGTTCCCTCTTGAGGAGTGGTGTATAAGCCAGCCGCATGCAGAGGTAGGAAGGCGACTGGACCAGTAGCACACCACCAAATGCGAGTTGGAGTCGAGGATGAAGACACCTGCTGAAAGAGTGAGTATTGTCCATCTGTCCTACTCTGTAAAGAAGTGTATTGACCTTGTAGTTCAGTTTGTCTAGAACAGGTTTCACAATTTCCATCCAAAGAGTAGACAAGATTTTTTCAAATGATGGGCCCTGTTGGCCAGGCAAGAACTTCACCTGATGACCGCCACGAACTTGAACACCAGACAATCCCAGGAGTCGCTTAAGGGACAACTGCAGCTCCTGTGCTTTCTTGATCGAAAAGCTTGAGAAAGGCACATGAAGAATCGGGTCAGATTCCTGGTCACTCTGTATGATAAGAGCATCACACTGGAGGTGGTGAATGTTGAGGAAGACGACAGGACCCTCACGAGCCGCCTTTCTCAGCTCAGCCAACTTTTTGGGTTGGAGAAAGGTTTCAAATCCTGGTAACGACCGAACCTTTCTCACCAATTCCTCCCACTCTTCGGCGAGACGTCGATGGCGCTGGGCAACCTCTTCCAGTGACTGTGGTCCGTCTTCCTTGACCCGTTTAGACCCTGACGTCTGCGTCTGTCGTGTACTTATCCCATCCAACTCTCTCGAGACCCTCAACAGCTCATCTGCAAGTGTCTCATTGACACTCCTGAGGTGGTCGACAGGGGAGCGTAACTGGAGGAGTTGGCCCCAGACCACGGATCGGCCCTGTTCGAGCCATTCCAATGCGGTTCCGTACTCTCCCATTTCAATAGCAGCCACGGCGGCTTTGGGGGCGTCATCCCCTTTATTGGCTAGCTCTTTGTGCCTTGACGCGATATCACTGCCTAGCCATGCGATACGGGGGAGGAGGTCGAGAGCCACAGAATAGGCGTCTATCGCTTGTTGTGAAGGCCCGTGTCTGATACGAGCTGCGTGTGCCCATAACATCCCTGCTGCGTATCGAAGGGCGGGTTCACCCGATGGGGAGGTTGCTGCCCGTTTATAGGCATTAATGGCTTTGTCAAGTCCATCCACCATCCGGAACACGTCGAAAAAGTTGCGTGTGCATATCCCAAGCCAAGTCAGACAGTTAACTTTGAACGGATGTCCGTCTGGAGTGAGGTTGACGGCTTCGTAGAGCGTCCACATCGCTTCTTTAAGATGGGCACGCTCCTTTGTGTGGCCTTCGAATCGTTTGAGGTAGGCTTTGCCGAGGTGCAATAGTCGGATTGGTTTACGTGTATGGTTCTCGGGAGTGAGTGCTACGGCTTGTTCGTTGGCTTGGATAGAGAGTGTTGGCGCAGTGGTGGTGGTTGGTGGTTAAGACACGATTAGCATTTAGCGCCCGTTGAGAGGGCTTATATACCTACGTACAAAGTAACTAGAATATTCTAATAAATACTATTCTAAGTAATTGTCCATTAAGGGAAATAAATGAGAATGTACTCGAGGAGTCGGGAGACGACTCTTCGAGGGCGGAATGTCCGAGTACCAACTACTCGGTTCTATTCCGACACTCCCCCTTACTCGGACAGAACGCCGATCTCCGTAGTTAGATCTTGATGTACAGATCTAGGTAGTCCTTTCGTGAATAGATCGGCTAAGTTGTTGTTCGTGTTGATATACACAAGATTGAGGGTGCCATTCTGTACGAGATCACGGAGGAAATGAAGTGCGATGTCGATGTGCTTCGTGCGTGCATGAAATTCCGGGTGGTGTGCGATAGGAACGGTGGCCTGGTTGTCCGAGAAGATTGTCGAGGTCGTTGGTAAGTCAATTCCAAGTTCTGTGAACAGAGAACGGTGCCACAGGACTTGTTTTGCGGCATGAGTAGCAGCTACATACTCCGCTTCCGCGGTTGAGAGTGCTACCGTGGTTTGTTTCTTGGAACTCCAAGAAACTGCGCCTCCAGCGAGTGTGACAACGTAACCACTCACTGATTTACGGTTCGCGTCGCTTCCCCAGTCGGCGTCGCAATAAATATTGAGTTCTGGGGTAGTAAAGTCGTCGGACCCGCTGTAAGTAAGTGCATGGGTACGAGTTCCTTTGAGGTAGCGAAATATTCGCTTCACAGCGGTCCAGTGCTTCGGTTTGGGGTTCTGAGTGAACTGGGCGAGCTTCTGGACGGTGTATGCGATATCTGGACGCGTTCCAATGGCCAGATACATCAGAGAACCTATAAGCGTCGCGTATCCGACAGATAAGTGCTCGTCTTGGTCCTGGTTCACTCCTGGCTTTGTTTCTTCATCTGAGTCGTCGTCGAGACGAACATTGGGGTCTAGAGGCGTCGTAACAGAGTTGCAGTCGTCTAGACCATATTTCTTGAGCAAGGAGTCGATGTAGGCAGTCTGGAAGAGGGATATGGTATGCTCTTCATCATTTTGAGCCATTCCCATTCCAAGAAGCATTCGGGGTCGTCCCAGTGCTTTAATTTCGAACTTACTGCCTAGATCCTTCTCCACAACGTCGTTTCGGGCGCTTGTACTCGCTATGGACAATATATCGTCGACCCATACAAGTAGGATCTCGAAATTGTCGCCCGTGCGACGCAGGTAGCAGCAGGAATCGGATTTGAGTCGATTAAATCCCAAATCTTGCATGGCTCGGTCAAATTCTTTATTCCAAACATTTCCGGCTTGTTTGAGGCCGTAGAGGGATCGTTTAAGCAGGCAGACACGGCCTGTACCGTCGTCAAAACCTGGAGGTTGTCGCATATAAATCTCCTCCTCGAGGTAGCCATTTAAATAGGCTCCCTTCACGTCGAATTGACGGAGATCCCATCCATTTATTGCTGCGAGACCGAGTCCGGTGCGCAATGTTTCAAAGCGCATAACCGGTGCGAACGTGCCGTCGTTGCTGTAATCGGTCCCTGGCTTCTGTGAGAAGCCTTGTGCGACTATTCGAGCCTTGTATTTAATGACATTCCCGTGCTCGTCATGTTTCTTGTCGAAAACCCATCTTGATCCTATCGCGGTTCTTCCTTCCGGTAGGTCGGTTTCCTCCCATGTATTCATCTTCTTGATGGTGGCTAATTCTTCCCTCATTGCTGCTTCCCAGTAGAATGCCTCCGGGCTTTGTAAAGCCTCGTCCACAGTCCGTGGGATGTCCGGTTCTGTAGGGCTATTAATAAACATGTACCCTTCAATTATTTCCCGGACAAATTTATCATCAGATACTTCGGGACATGTGGTATAGTTTCCTGATCGCGCGAAGTGTGCGCGCTCACGTGCCCGAGCTTGGGACGCCTTCGTGTGACGAGTAGGATCAGGTGGAGG